AAATTTTAAAAAAAAAAAAAAGGTAAAATTATTTTTTTTTTTTTTTTTTTGTCTTTTTGAGACAGGGTCTCCCCATAGCCCCATGCCGGCCTCGAACTCACAGAGATCCGCCTGCCTCTGCCTCCTGAGTGCTGAGACTAAAGGTGTGCACTACCATGCCCTGCTATTTTTACTTTTTTTTTATGTGCCTTAGTGCCTGCATGTATGTAAATGCACCCATGTGGTGCACTGCCCATGGAGATCAGAAGAGGGCGTTGGAGTCCCTGGAACTGGAGTTACATACAGTTGTTAGCTGCCATGTGGGTGCTGGGAATCAAACCCAGGTCCTCTGCAAGAACAGCCAGTGCTTCTAATCACTTAGCTCTCCAGCCCCCCCCACCCCAATAATTAAATTTTTGTTTGTTTGGTTTGGTTTTTTGTTTTGTTTTGTTTTTTGGGGAGGGTCTCCCTACTCCCAGTCCACCTAGAAGTCACTATGTGGAGCAGGCTAGCCTCAATCTCACAGAGATCCACCTGCTTCTGCTTCCTGAGGGCTGGGATTAAAGGTGCGAGCAAAGCACACCTAGCCCCAAAATAATTTTTCAATAAAACATTATTATATACTAAAAACCCAAGAGGAACTGTAGTACTAGTATGTGCAAATTTGTAAAAGTAGTATACTATTAACTATTGTGTAGGTGATAGTTATATAGAAGGAGCTAGCCTTTATTTGACTGTCGATCAGTTTAAGTAGGCTATGGTTTGCCTCAACTCCAAGAATCATTAGTATTCAGCATTGAGTAGTCTACCAAATAGTCCCCATTAGTTAATGATGATTGAAGACATGGTTCATATTAGTTGAGTATTTTTGCATGCTGTGAGCGTTGTCCAGTAGAATAATCAATAATGCAATAAATGAGAGTGATAACACGGCCTGGAATTAAATCTCAGATTGTGCAGCCATGTTACAGAGGTGGGCATTTACATTGTAAGCCCTGTGAAGAGGGAATATATAGCAGTGGGAAACGATCATGGTCTTTCTGTTGCCTACCTTTGTGTCATACTCTGAGTCCATTTTCTGTGGTGGTATTTAGGAGGGTGTAAGATGAATATTGCCCTCAGGATCCTGAGTAGACTTCGAAGGGTTGCCCTGGAAAGTTTAGTTGTACACAAATTGGATAAGTAATATGGCTTTGGGGACTGTGAAAGTTCCCTAGGTAAAACATCACAAATTGGTGTATGTGGCGAGGTAATAGCAAAGAAGACTGGCCATCTGAAGCAGGGGTAGTAGTAGTGGTGTGCAGAGACTGCTCAAACTAAGATTGATGTGGATGGTGCAGGGCTTGGGTCTCTGGGTCTGAGAGTCAATTAGCATTGGGGTGGCCAGGTGACAGTGCACAGGAAGCTACTGTACTTTTCCTTTTTGGAGCAAGTTCTCCATTGGAGAGGTATTTTTTACAGGGAATAACTGGTGCTCAGCAAGTCCAGAAACGGATTTCTGAATGGAAATTCAGGAAATTCATGAGATAATTGGACTGATATATGGGAGTCTATTTGAAAGGAGTACATCCAAAAAGAATGTAATAGAAAGAACCTCAATGGAAGGTGCTTTAAATTGTTTTGTAGGTACATTGCATCAGCACAGAATTCACCCCACGAAAACATGGAGGTGAAAAGGGAGTGCCTTTTAGGATCCAGGTTGACACTTTTAAGCAGAATGAAAATGGGGAATACACAGATCATCTTCATTCAGCTAGCTGCCAAATCAAAGTTTTTAAGGTAAGAAATGGAAACAGGAATGGAGACTCAGTTTGCTTATAAAGTTGTGCTCAGCAAAATGAATGAAATTATCCACTCTATTTTTAAGCCTAAAGGTGCAGATCGGAAACAAAAAACTGACCGAGAAAAGATGGAGAAGAGAACAGCTCATGAAAAAGAAAAGTACCAGCCATCATACGATACCACCATCCTCACAGAGGTAATGTAACATGGCATTTGGTTTTGAGAGAAGCAGAGGTTGGCATGTTAGCACAACCGCTCAGATGAATTTTGCAACAAAGTGATTGGGAATATTGGGTGGTAGAGTGACGTGATATTCTGAGGAATTTGTGGGTCCATATTTTACTTAAGTTTGGGAATTCTTATGAATTAATTGTCTGGGTGGGAACTTGAATGAAGATGCTGAAATCCCAATGAGGTCTCAGAATAGACCTTAAAACCTTGAAGTTGACAAGAGATTAAGTTGGGGCCTTAGAATGTCCAATTTTTGTCACTGCTGGGGTTTTGCATTTTCTTTAATTTTTAATCCTGTTAGTCATACATTTGTTTATTTGGACACAGAGACATGAAACAGGGTATTAGATCTTTCTTTGTATAATGAAAAGACATTGACCCCAATCTTTGGTGTTTGTCCAGATGAGGCTTGAGCCTATAATTGAAGATGCAGTTGAACATGAGCAGAAAAAGTCCAGCAAGCGGACTTTGCCAGCAGACTACGGTGATTCTCTGGCAAAGCGAGGCAGTGTAAGGGACTTCTGCTTCTCTTTTCATTGTGCAAGAAACCTTGTGCAGTGTTAGATATAGGACCAACTTCCACGGAAAAGTAAAGCCAAATTGTTTTTGATGTCCATGTCTTGATTTAATTTGCTTTTGTTTAGACTTCCTGCTTTCTGTTTGTTCCTCACTGAGGAAAATTTCCTAAATCTAACACTTTAAAACAAAGCATAAACAATGTTGACCATATTGGGTGGTTTTGGAGGGAGAGACACTCATAGATATGTATGCCCTCCTGTTCCTTTGTCCCCATCCTTCCTTCCCTCCCTCCCTCCATTACACACATAGCTCCTTCAAGAACACTGAAATTAATAGAAAATACTTTATTAATTTTAAGTAGTTATTATTTTATGTAGTTAAGAAAAGTTTTGCTTTTTTTCATGTGTATACCTGATAAGAAAATTTTGTAGATACTTAGAGAAATGATAGCAGCAAGCTTGACATTAACACGTGCAGTACTCTGTGTCACATTTCCGTGCATGCACTATAAGAATGTGTGTCTGTCTGTGCTTTTAAAAGCCTCTTTGGCAGCACTGGTAGAAAACATCTCTGACTGTGTAGTGTTACCTCTTGGCACCTGCATTGTGACATTGCATTGTGATGTAATGCTTCAGACCACAGCAGTGCACCTTACTGCACTTAGCACTGGGACCCTCGGACATGTAGTCAAGAGGGCTTTTGGATTATTCTGATAGGCAAATTTAAACTTACATACCTGTATTAAATATGGGTAGAGAACACTAAAGAAGTTTTAAAATAGCAGTTATATGTATTAATGAGCATTCTGTTTGGTTCATACTATTAGGGTGCCAAAAATGGAGTTTTCACTTTTTTTACATATATTTATGATTAATTGTGGACTTTAAAAGATCACTATCAGAAGCACTACCACAGGAACCTCATTCCCATTTTAAAGCATTGAATGAAAATGTTTTCAATTCTTTATGCAATGAACTTCCAGTGTATGCATCCCAGTACACCAGGAGCACATTTGTTGCATTTTCTTTATTTTTATTTACTTTTTTTTCCCCTCATTTTTTTGAGACAACATAGCCCAGTATGACCTGGAACTCACTGTGTAACTCAAGCTGGATTTGAACTTGTGGCAGTCCCCTACCTCATCCTCCCGGGTACTGGGATTACATATGTGAGCCATTATGCTTGGCTTTCTGCATTTTCTTTAACTTGCTATTTTGGCTTATATCAGAGTTTGTCAGAACCACTGAATACTCCTTTCCCCAAATGCCTGCCCTCCAGTCTTTTTTTTTTTTTTTTTTTTTTTTTTTAAAAAAAAAAAAAAAAAAAAAAAAAAAGAGGACGATAAATCTTTCACTGTGATATATCAAAATAATTTTTTTTTTTTTGTCATCTGACTCTTCAGCTGAAAAGCCACAAATGTTCTTAGTAAATTTCTTTGAGGGGATCCTAGAAGATTAAATCACTTGCCCTTGCCCATTATAAACTATTTAGCTAATTTAGAGACAATGGTTCTGGTAATTCATAAATAAGTCTGTTGTAGCCCAGAGCCAATATGAAGATGAGAAAATTGATGGTAAATTCTTAATGAGTCTTAAGTCTGTGAAGTATGCAAAACGTCAGCAGTTCACTGGCCTGGGATTTCACATCTTCTTAGTGTGTTGCTTGCTACCCTGGTTGCATTTGGTTTGGGTATGATGCTTCTAGAGTTGATTAGGCCTCATGTTGGGAACCCTTTTTCAAAATGCAGGTTACAGATTGTTAACTCCTTAAATAAGAGTATCTGCAGCATCATGTAGCTCTTCACATGCCCACAGAGGGAGGCCAGCCTTTCTTACAGCTTTGGGTAGTTAACAGTTGGTTTCCAGTTAAAGGGATTTATAGCCAGAAGTCCTGATAAAATCAAAAAGGTGCTGAATGACATGGTCCCACACCGAATTGTCACTCCTGTTGGTTCCCAGGAGATACATAACAAACCCTTTGTGTTTGTGTCTGCTGATCATTGATTGGCTCATACCAGGGCTGCTACATTTTACAGCTTATATGAGTCTTCATTCTTTAGTATCTGTGGGAAAATACTACATTCACAGCATACTGAAACTGGAACTGTGTAAGCCCAGACCATTGTTAGAACATTCAGGCATTACTGTCCTCAAGAACATAGCACTGTGCTATTGTTTACTTTTAACACCACCACTGGACTACAGATATAGATGAGGGGTACAGTGCTTGCATAGCATGTACAAGACCCTGGGTTTGATCTTCAGCATGACAGAAACAGACAGAATCCCCAATTAAAAACTACTCTTGTATTGCTGAAAGTATCTAAATACATAAAAGTGAAATAGATATGTGTATGGTGAGTAAACTTGATTTCTCTACTGTGCCACACCAACTTGAAGTTTTAAGATAGCTTTGCTTCCTCAAAAAGCTGATAGTAATTTGGGGAGATGCTACTTTTAATATTAAAAGAGTCCCATAGTTAGCTGTGCATGTTTGGTTCTGTTGTAATCTTTTGTATCCGGTGAGAAGGATGGCATAGCAGTAGCATCATGCATGTAGTGGAGTGACAGCACATGCACACTTGGTTAGATGTGCTGTTACAGGCTTGGGTTCTTCACACTATATAAGCTGAGGAAGGGGATACCTGGTAAGATGAAAAACGAAGACTGTACTTAAAAAAAAATCTGTTGTGTAAAATGCCCTGAATAGTGGAGGAAGCTTACCAGAGCTGAGCAGTAAACTTCAATGTCTATTTTGAAAGGTGGCAGTAGTGCACAGTGTCTGCCGTATTACCTGTCTTTTTGAGCTATGTGTTAATTGACACGTGCAAGGATTTTGATTTGGAGATTTCTCTTTTCTTTTTCGGTATGTTCCATGTTTGGTAGCTGATAAGACATGGACTGTGAGCCTCTCATACCAGTGGTGAAGCTTGATTTCTGCCTCAATGCCTCACAGTTTTAATTCTTCACACTAGTGGTCTTGACACTTTCCTAAGAATTTTGGAAAAGGTTATGTATTCCTTGAACATTTTCAAACTGACATCAGAAGTTTTCATCATAAATTTAACAGTTGCAAAGGAAACATTTTCCTGGCATGATGAATATTCAGTTTATAATTTAAGGTAAAACTATGAAGAATCTTGGAAGTAGCCTGCAAATTCTAAGTACCACAGAAATTTCAAATTTCATGATCTAGTCAGTCCATAATTTTACTCAGCTTTTCTCTTTTGGCCTTATCTTTGCATTCTGTTCCTCTTAAACATTATCTTTAAAAAAATTTTTTGTTTTTATTTTATATATATGAGTGTTGCCTGCAAGTATGTAAGTGCACCTGTGTTCTGCAGTGTCTGTAGAAGTCTTCTAGAAGAGGGTGTTGGATCCCTTGGAACTGGAGTTATGATTGTTAGCCAAAAAGTGATTGCTAGGAATCAAACCTGGGTCCTCTTCAAGAGTAGCCAGTGCTCTTAACTGCTGAGTGACCTCTCCAGCCCCTTAAACGTTGTCTGAATGTGATACATACTTTTATACTTAAGTCGTTTATGATAACCCCAATTTTTACAATAAACTCTTGGGTTTTTTCTTTTTTAATTTATTTTTCTTTTATGAGTGTTTTACCTGCATGTATGTAAGTGCACCCATGTTGTGCATTGCCCTTGGAGGTCAGAGAGGGCATCAGATTCCCCTGGAACTGGAGTTACGGAGAGTTGTGAACTACCGTGTGTGCTGGGAACTGAACCCAGATCCTTTACAAAAGCAGGCCTGCTCTTAAGCGCTGAGCCAACTCTCTAGCCCAGCCCTTTAAACTTAGAGTCTTGTGTTTACTTCCCAAGCCTATCATTATAGACACACAGCACCATGCCTCGCTTTAAATTTAATTTTTAAAATTTCTGTGGGGGCTAGAGGGGTGGCTCAGCAGTCGAGAGCCCTTGCTGCTCTTGGAGAGGATCAGGTTTGATTCCCAGCACCCACATGGCAGCTCACAACCATCGGTAACTCCAATTCCAGGGTATCTGACACCCTTTTCTGGCCTCCATGGACACTGCACACACACATGGTACACTTACATACATACAGGCAAGACACACACATAAAATAAATATAACAAATATATTTTTTTAATTTCCTGTGACTTTAGTATAAATTCAATTAAGAAATTAAAACTTGGGCCATCAAGATTCTTGGTTCAGCAGATAAAGCATAGTCCACCAAGCTTGAACCTGAGTTCAAGCCCTGGGACTCACATGATAGAAGGAGAAAAGTTGTTCTTGACCTCCACATGGGTGCCATGGCAGGAATGCACACACAAACAATGTATACACAATAAATAATAAGCAAATAAATGTAATTTTACCAAGAAAAAACTTACTAGAACCCAATTTATTAAAACAATAAATCTCAGAAATTTTGATGAACAATTTATATTAAAATAAGGGACTGGACAGACATAAATTTTAGATTTTTTTGTTGTTGTTGTTTGAGACATAGGGTCTTATGCCTGGGCTGATCTGGAACACTCCCAATTACTGGGATTACAGGGCTGTGCCACCATGCCCTGCTTAAGAGTTTTCAAATAGATATGAGAAATTTTGTTTAAACTCTTTTCAGTGTCATTCAAGACTTGACACTTCTTTCGAATCATCTGCCAAAACTCCCAGTGATCTTTGTATGACCTACTAGATTATTTTTAGTATATGCCAGTTGACCAGAGGCCCTCCCAAATTATATTTAGAGCACAGTCGTGAAGGCTACCTCATTTCAAGATTAGAATTGCTTACTTGAGTCCTTTCTATCCTAGTATCTTTTGCTTGCTATGGGGAATCTTAAACCCCAGGGCTGAATACAGATGTGATGCCTTTCTTATCTTACATGGGAGAGGGGTGATTATGACAGGGAACCCTTGACACTGTCACATCCTGGACAGGGCAGGTTTAGAAAGAATCCCTCGCTGGTGAAATGGGTCTCTTTGAAGCTCAGGTGGGAGGACTTATACTTGCATGTCTATAGCCTGTTCAGCATGCTCTTCACTTACGCTTTTTCAACTTTGCTAATTGTAATAGTGTGTCTTTGAATCTTGGTTATAGTTATAGCTCAGTAGATCCTTTACAGAAAATAAAAATATATACTTGGCTAAATGGATAAGTAGAGGCAGCTCTGTACATGGTTGATGTGCTTTGATGTGGGCCTCTCCAATAAATCTCACTGGGGGATTATGAATGTGATATCAGGTAACAAATGGGTACTGCCCTTAAGGAGCAGCCATAGGAGCTAGGTAGGACCCAGCTACTGTCCAGGGCACCATGTGATGTCAGATGTTGCTTGTGAATCCTTGTCTGCTGTTCTTAAACCTTGAGAAGTGTTTGTTAAGAGTACTGACGGGGCGGGCGGAGGGGAGAGAATAAGCTCTTAAACACAAATTTATTTAAAATGTCTAAATTTCTGCTGCTATCATCACTTCAGGTCATCTTTAAGATAAATTTAGTGTCTTTGCCATACACAGTGAATTTGATGTGTCTGATAAGCATCAAGTGTCTTGTGTTTTAAAAGCTTGCGTTTGGTCAGTCTAGAGAGTGAATTATAAAAGTGTTTCTTCTGAATATTTAAAAAGCATATCATTAATTTATTTCTGTTTCTATTCTTAGTGTTCTCCGTGGCCTGATACTCCCACAGCTTATGTGAATAACAGCCCTTCCCCAGCGCCCACTTTCACCTCCTCACAGCAGAGCACATGCAGTGTCCCAGACAGGTATCTGGTTTGTGTAATCGTGTGCCTGCACCTAACCAATGCTCCTGTAACTGTCCCATCCCCTTCCCCCAAATCCATGTGGCCTCATTTGTGTGTGTGAGAATGTGTCGGGTAATGGGAAATAGCCTATACTTGGTTTAAGGGATAATTGTAGTCTTAACCTGACAGTTAATTGTATGGGGGTAGGGGCTCATATTTTCTCTAGAGATTGAAATAGGAGTATTACAAGTTTGAGGCCAGCCTGGGGGCTTATATAGCACTACCCTGTCTGAACAAAGTGGGGAGAGGTGGTATTTTCAGGGTAGCACCAAGATACTGTCTTTTTGAAGTTAAAGAAAGCATTAACAGAGTGGGTGAGTGGTTAATGTGAGGCTATGACTTGACTATATTAATAATACGTTTATTACAAAGCCCAGTGGTCTTTATGCTTACCATGTGAATATTTTTTTACTATTTCTTTCCCTCTCTGCAGACATAGTTGAGTGTTTAAAATTATAGGAAGGGCCTTCAGTTTCTGAAGACTACAATGGCTTTAGAATTGGGACAACTGAACTTGGTTGATTGTATTATCTGGCTTTGGCAGCTAAGAGTACAAGGAGCTCAAGAGTGGGATCAGGATAGGTCTGAGGCCTCTAACTATACCTTCAGTTCCTGCAAGCTTTTCTGGAGGACAGTAGTTCAGAAGTTCCTGCTTGTAGTAAGTTTCTTTGAGGCTGGTGAATTACGAAAACTGAGACTGCAGGGGAAAGTTCTCTATTTTTTATACTTTTGTCATTTTGAAAAGATCTGGTAAGAAAATATATAGAATCATGCTCTCTCTCTGTGGAGATCAAAGAACTGACCAGGAACCTCTTCTCATGTAGTTCTTATGTCTACAAGTAGAAAAATTCTCATGGACTCAGATACAAAGAGGGACCAAGGAACTAGCATCCAACCCGATAGAAATCTCTTGCTGTTCCCTGTGTGAGTCATCTTAGAAAATGGCTGTGATCTTAGATGAGCTTTGAACTCATGTACCTTAGTTGTCTCGATGTTTCCTGAGAGCCCAGTGTGTTCCCAACATGGTCCTAACATGCAGTGATTGTAAATGACCAGATAAATTCCTGTTGGAAGGGGCTTAAGCTCTGGTGAATGAAGAATAGCATAAGCAGTTGATGTAATAAACTAAGGAGTTGGGGAGCTGGTACTGAGACAGAAGCCTTACTCAGAACCCAGGAATGTGAATGTTCTCCATGGAGTGTTTTGCCATTTGTTTTCCTTTGCCATAGAGTCACAAGGAGAGTGGCACAAGTTTCTTTGATTTGCTTCTATATTCATGGGCGTGTGTGTGTGTATGTGTATTAATTATGGGGAAATATTTTAGTTGGGATCTTTGTTTTTTTATTTGTTTTTTGAAGCTGGGTCTCCCTGTAGCCCCAGCTGTCCTGGAACTCACTGTGTAGACCAGGCTGACCTTGAACGCACAGAGATCCACCTGCCTCTGCCTCCCAAGTGTTGGGACTACAGGCGTGCGCCACCACGCCCGGCGGGATCATTGTTTTTTACAGGCTGGTTTTTATTTTTTTATTTTTTTGAGACAGGCTCTCCCTCTAGCCCCAGCTGGCCTAGAACTCCCAGCCATCCATCTGTGTCTGCCTCGTGAGTGCTGGGATTAAAGGTGTGCACCACCATGCCCTGCATGGATCATTATTCTTATGGCTTCCAGCTCTATTTAGATATTTGTCTTATTTGATTCACATATTACTTTCTTAAAAATGAATACATATCTTTCCTCATTTTCCTGGCACCTATATAGAGAATTGAGGGAGCTCTTTTCACACAGTTGAGTCTCGCACTAGGGTAGACTGAGAAAGTGGCATACAATGTGATGGTGATGTTCCTGTGTCTTTATCTCGTCCTCATACTCTCCCCTAACCTGTGTTGTGTTCTTGTTGCAAGCTTACGCAGTTCTCTCCCACAAGAATGTCTTCTTTCAAAGTTATATGTGCAATAGCCTTTGATTTCTTGATTTTTAAGAAAGTTAAAATAATTTCTTCCTTTTCCTTTCTCCAGTAATTCTTCATCCCCAAATCATCAGGGAGATGGAGTTGCACAAGCATCTGGGGAAGTAAGTATCCTTCTCTAAAACTAAGGCATGTTTTTAGGGTTCTGCGTTTTAAAGTTTCTAGCCAGGATCTGAGTTATGTGGGTTGCTAAGACATCGACTTGTATTCTTTTGATTTATTTATATTTTATGTATACGAGTGTTTTGTCTGTATGTAGGTAGGTGTACCCGTGTTGTACAATGCCTCTGAGGTCAGACAAGGGTGTCAGATCTGCTGGAACTGGAGATACAGCCAGTTGTTAGCTGCCATTTGAGTGCTGGGAAATGAACTTGGGTTCTCTGCAAGAACAGCCAGTGCTCTTAACTGCAGCTTGTATTCTTACTGGATGTTTGTCACTTTAGATTTTAAGGCCTTTTGAGTTTTGCTTAAACATTCTTTGTGATATATTAGCGTCTTGCGTTTTTTTGTTTTGTTTTTTAAGTTTGACTGGTTTTATCTATGTTCATTTTCTTATTTTGTTAATAGCAAATTCATCCTTCAGCTACAACCCAGGAAACACAGCAATGGCTGCTCAAAAACAGGTTCTCTTCCTATACAAGACTATTTTCTAATTTTTCAGGTATGTCTATGTGTATAGATGCATGAGAGTATTTTATCTATCTATCTATCTATCTACCTACCTACCTATCTTTATTTAGATTTATTTATTTATTTATGTCTTTTTGAGACAGGGTCCCCCTGCAGCCCCAGCTGTCCTGGAACTCACTATGTAGACCAGGCTGGCCTTGAACTCACAAAGATCCCCCTGCCTCTGCCTCCCAAGTGCTGGGATTAAAGGCGTGTGCCACCATGCCCGGCTGTGTTTTTATTAATTTGAGGAAGCTTTCAAATTTTTGTAATGATTATAGATATATATGAAGTTGTAAAAAGTAACATGCCTGTTTCCTAGTTTTGCTCAACTGTGATATTCTGTTAATTCCTTCCAAACCAGAAAATTAACATTGTTACAGTCCACTCATTTGTATGTATATTTAGTCCTATGCAGTGTTTTTTCATTCTGACTTTTATTTTGACATAATATTTTGCTTTATATTAAGCTGTAAACATGTACGGAGATGATCCAGCATACATTTACTCATTGTCTCATGGAATTGTAGTTAACTATCAAAACCAGAAGTTGATGTTAATACCATGTATATAGATCTGTCACCTTCTCACTGTGTAGATCAGTGCAGCAACCACTGCAGTTAAGTTACAGGTATGGGGTGTCAGCACAAGGTCTCCCTCCTACTCCTCCCCCACTCCACTCACCCCAAACTGTCCTGTCTGATTTGGTCATTCTGAGACTGTTACACAGTAATCCTCCAGTATATGGCCCTTTGAGTCTGACCTTTTCTCGCTCCTCCTAATAATGTCAAGTCCCTTGAAGGCTATCCTGTGTGTCTGTTGTTTGATCCTTTTCATCATGGAGCAGTGAGTCATATTGTGGATTTATCAAGATAAGTGGGTTTCACATACCACAGCTAGTTCTTTCTTTTTGCCTAGGAAGCTATGGGAGTGTTGTGGTAGAATTTTAGGTTCAAGTGGCACTGCTCCAGGTAGCATGGTAGAACACCTGTTCAGAGAACAGTATTTGTCATGCCAGGAAGCAGGAATAATGCTTCAAAATATGCTTGGTCTTTGGACCTTTTCCTGTAATACAATATCTAACATGTCCTGAGAAATATTTGTCCACAGGTGTGAGTGGCAGCTAGCATTCCTTTTACCTGTGTGTGGGGCTATTGAAACACAATTTGGTCCCTTTAAGAAGGCAGAATAGGGGCTGGAGAGATGGCTCAGCGGTTAAGAGCATGTACTGCTCTTGCAGAGGACCCGGGTTTGATTCCCAGCACCCACATGGTGGCTACTTACGGTCCTTAATTCTAGTTCCAGGGGAATCTGAAGCCCTCTTCTGACGTCCGCAGCATTGCACGACATGGGTGCACTCACAAACATGCAGGCAATACACTCGTACATATAAAATAAAAATAATAAAATATAAAAAAAGGCAGAATATTTGTGTACAGATACCCAGCCTGAAGGAAAACTTGATTTCACCACCAATATGGTTTCCTGTTATGCCATTTACTGTATTTGTACAATGGGTAGTCACTCCCCATGAAACTCTTTTCTCTAAAATTAAAATACCCCATGGAAGTCATTTGCTCTCTGGGATCTACATTTTTTTATATGATTAAGTAAAGCCTTTTATATATGAAAAACTAGAGATTATAAAATTCAGGATGTGGGGGAGCGATTTTTTTCGAACCCTTGTAGGGCAAGCAGATGAAAAGCATAGCCCATGACAAAGCGTCTTGACAGTTGGAAATTCAGGGAGCTCCTGGTTATTCCTGTGATGTTAGGCAGGTCCATATTTGTGTTTGTGGAGCTATAAGATCTTTTCCTTGTGAGCAGTGATCATAAGACTTGGCCTTCTGCTGAGCCACAGCCCTTATAGACTGATAAAAACAGTGAGGCCTCCTAGGTATTCATTCACATGTCAGGAAGGGCTATGATGGCATGCATCTGTCATCCTTTCCGCATGAGTTACAGGTGTGTATGTGTGTGTGTGTGCACACACTTCTTGTAGCAACTGTGAGCCCCACTTCAGAGCTGTATATAGTGTCCCCAATAGATGGGAGAACCTCTTTCTCCGCTCGTCTCCCTCCAGGAATGACTCCATCAATGCTCACATCTCATGGAAGTTACGCATCTCTGGTCTTTCCTTTACCCACTAGGAATCTGTCAGGCTCTCCTATTCAAGCCTGTAAACAGAAAGATAACCCTATTATCTCATTACACATGGAAGTAGATATTTACCATATGGAAGTCATGGCTTCATTCCAGAAGCCATCTTCAATTTTCCCAACAACCAAGGTCTTGACAGATAGTAAAAGAGCAAAAAACAAGATTTTGTGGACATACCCAGTGTAGTAGGCAGCATGGAGTATCTGAAGGACCTGTGACCACCCCAGCTTCATAGTTGGCTGAAGCTTGGTTAGTGTTGCTCTCCACTTCTTACCCTCCCACTTGCTTTTAAGGCAAATCCTTGACACTAAGTATTTACAAAGGAAATCTGAAGGGACAGTGAGATTCTCTATTACACTTTCCCACTAGTACTTGCTCCTGGAATGGAGTTGTGTCGCAGAGCATCTGACCTGGGATTGCATGTTGTGTAAAGAGGCCTAGTCTCCTCTGCTTGTATGATTTTGGGCGATGTCCCCAAAAGCGAGGATTTCCCCCCCGCTTTAAAAAAAAAAAAAAAAAAGCTGGGCATGGTGCTACATGCTAATCACAGCACTCAGGAGGCAGAGGCAGGTGAACCTCTGAGTTCAAGGTCAGCCAGATCTACATAGCGAGTTCCAGGCCAGATGGGGCTGCAGGGGTCTCAAAAAGACCAAAGAAAAGAAAAAAAAAAACAAAAAAATGGGTCTGGTAATGCGCACTTTTAATCTCAGCATTTGGGAGGCAGAGGCAGGAGGATCTCTATGAGATTGAAGCCAGCCTGGTCTGCATAGTGAGTTCCAGGCCAGACTAGGAGACCCTGTCTCAGATAAACAAACAGAAAGACAGGTCAGGGGTGGTCTCAAAATTAATCTCTTTGGGGTCAGAATCGTGTTCAGCCACAGTCCAGCAACTAGGGAAAGAAAGGAGTAGGGAGTGTCGTATTGGGAACAGGTGGGCCTGATAGCCACGATTATTTCTTTGTTGCCACAGAACACTGAAAAGCCAGCTGATGAGGCAGGACATCTGAGGGACAGATATGTGTCTTCCTACATTGCTTGTGGATTTGTATATATCCAGGATACTTGCCTTTGTTAAGAAGGGCATTTAACCACACAACAGATACCTGTTACACTCAGCCCTTTTCTCTTTGTTTGAGAAGAATCTCTTTGCTGTTCTCCAGGTGCCGACTTATTAAAGCTGACAAAGGAGGATTTAGTTCAGATTTGTGGTGCAGCCGATGGAATTCGGCTCTATAATTCACTGAAGTCAAGGTAAAATTCTATGGACTGTTCTGTGTGAAATGAGAACAGACCTTTCTCTGCGTGGGGGATTTGGTGGGCAGAATGTGTTTCCATGCTAGGTTGGCGTGTGCCTGTGTGCGCCACCAAGCATCGGCAGCATCGTGCTCACGAGAAGACTGTTTTGTGTACACCTTCAGGGCAGGCACTGATGAGGGCAGAGGTAGACTAAGACTGGTAGCAATGCACATGGGCAGTACTGATTTCTTGAAGACGACTGGGTTTGTTGCCAAGAAAACAAAACTTCTAATTTAGGTGAGCTATACAGAATCTATGGTTTTCAAGGTCATGATTATTATTAAGCAGTTATTAAAATGTAAAGTAATTGCAAATTAAAATGTTAGAACTATAAACTGTGCTGGCTTTTAAGATCCATTACCTCTCATTGCTATTTCTAGACTTGTGGTGTGAGAATTCCATTAAACTTGAGCCTTACTGATTTTAAATTGCTTACTTAATCTTGAAACTTAAATTTACCAGCATCTGACAGACCATCTCAATGGTTTAGAGTCTGGACCTGTGATAGTTGGTGTGAGGTGTGTGGTTTTTATATTTTTATTAGAAAATTATTTTGTATAATGAAATAACATTGTAAAGTTTTCATAAAGAAATAGACCTTAGATTCCTGTAGTTGTCAATTGTACTTATGCTAAGGCAGCTTGCCCTCTTAGGCTCATTGGAGGCATCTTCTGATTGCAGGTCGGTTAGGCCCCGCTTAACCATCTATGTCTGCCAGGAGCAGCCAAGCAGCACCGTGCTGCAAGGGCAGCCACAAGCTGCAGGCAGTGGAGGCGAGAGTGGCAGTGGGACACCCTACGGTGGGTATTGAGGGCCTCAGTTCTGTCCACACCTTTCTGGGATGGTCAGAGGTGAGAAGGACATGAGCAGGTGGAGGAGACCGCCTGCTGTCAGACTGTTGAGCTGCTGATGCAGAGTTGACAGTAGCAGCTGCAGGACCAAGTCCCTTTCTCATCTCTCAACCATGCTATGGGTCTCTTACATGGCCCTTTGTACTAGAAACATCTAACACGCAGTAGGATAGCTTGAATGTCTTGAGACCTTTCTGGCTTTGTTTTTTCTTAAGTCTAGGATTTATTGAGACCATGAATGGACTGTTGGCAGCTTGACAGGAAAACTAAAGGGATTTTCTTTTCTCTCCCATTTCACCAACTGATTGGAGGCGGGCGGGGGTCCTCTTGAACTACCACACAGGAGCAAAGGTGTGTCTGTGTAGCAGTCTGAGGTGTAGCCCTGTCAGAGATGAGCGTCCAGTAGTGTGTCCTTGGTCAGTGTTGGCACAATCCACACTGTTTTTTGTTGATAAAAGGATTTTTCACCCTGTAGATTTTTTTCAGTTGAACAGTATAAAAAGTCTGCCCTCTCCTATCTCTTCCCTCCTTGAATATAAAATTTTGGAGGAGGGGTGAGTTTGAGACAAGGTCTTACTAGGTAGGAGGCTTAGGTTGGCCTCGAATCTGTCATCCCTCCTTCCTCATCCTTCTAAATACGAGGATTACAGATATGCACCATCACATCCTGTTCCCACTTACATGGCGATGTGTGGTATTTCCCTCACATCACATTTCAAAAGCAGAATGAAGGTGGTACATACAGACTATACTATGTTGTTGCTTTTATTGTTTCTTTTTGAGACGGGGTCTCCCTGTAGCTTCAGCTGGCCTAGAGCTCCCTATGTAGACCAGGCTGGCCTCAAACTCACAGAAATCCGCCTGTCTCTGCCTCCCAAGTGCTGGGATTAAAGGCCTGTGCCACCATACCAGGCGAGAAACATGTATTACAGAATTCAGAGAGGCGGTCAGTCACCTTTTTCTATAAAAGACTAAGTAGTAAAAATTTTCAACTATAGGGTCTCTTACACACTTAACTCTGCTAGCATATTGCCAAAGAAGCCATAGACAACAGTAAATCATATATATGTCCCTGTTTGAATCAACAAGAAATTGCTCCGACTTTTTTAAAAGTTATAAGAATTGGTCCATATAAGCTATGATTTGATGATCTTACAGTCACTCTAATTTTAGTTCTAAGCTTTAATTTTAAGCTTTTCCAAGTGTATACTTAGGGAGATCCTATACTCATAAATCCACAAAGCTGCTTGTTTCATAAGCAAGCTTTTCAGCAATCTATTTCAGATCTGTGTCCAGCTTGAGTTAGTGGTTGAGCAGAACACAAATGAGCAAGACCTGTGCAGATTCAGTGTCTGCTGATGAGTTCAAGGCATGGGCAGCAACAGGATGCTGGATGAACTGTGACTGTGACTTTCCCTAAAGCAGCAGCAGACTTCATTTCTGTACCCTTAGCTGTTCATATGGCGGTGTCTCCATTTCTTTTGTGTATATGTTGGGATGGAGGGGGTGGGGGTGATGATGAGAACTCTTTTTTTTTTTTTTTTGAGACAGGGTCTCCCTGTAGCCCTAGCTGGCCTGGAACTCACTATGTAGACTAGGTTGGCCTTGAACTCGCAGAGATCCACCTGCCTCCTGAGTGCTGGGACTAAAATCATGTACCATCATACCCAATGAAAGACATTTTTTAAAGTAGTTTTGAGGCATAATTTATATATCACGAAATCCTCCCATAGTAAGCATGCAACTTAATGACTCTTTAGTGCATGTACACATTTTTTTCAGCCTTTGCCACAATCCAGTTTGAGTTCCATCACCTCAGAGATTTCCCTGTGCTTATTCCCTATCCTTCTTCTTCATTTTTAAACTGTAACTAGATGAGACTCCATGCTCATTACAGAAAAATATAGTGTCTCAAATCCTTTTACACAAGATTATTGATATTTATCACCCATGAGCATAAATAGTGGTTTTTATATTTCAGGTGAGTAGGTGATTTTAAAGGGAAAAAGAAATGTTAATTTGTTCCTATTTAGAAATTTTGAGTTTTATTTCTTTGAAATTTTGAAAGGCATAGAGTATTGATAAAGTATCAGATCAAAGATTATTTTTACCAATGCTGTCTTTTTCTTTTTAATTTCAGTTTATCATGCAATCTACTTGGAAGAAATGGTTGCCTCAGAAGTTGCTCGGAAACTTGCGTCTGTGTTTAATATTCCTTTCCATCAAATTAACCAGGTTTACAGACAGGGCCCCACTGGTATTCACATTCTTGTTAGTGACCAGGTAAATCAGACAGGCAGCAGCCACTCTTCCTTTCACAGTGGCAATTGTGTGTGCTGTTGGGGAGCTGTAGAAAAATGCTGCTGACAAGAGTTATTTTCAAAGAGTTGAGGATCAAAATCTATAAGAATTGCTAACCAAGAAATATAGCATCCTCATGGCAATAAGAAATACAAGTCAGGGGAAAACTAGCTCAGTGTCTCCCAGGCTTTTTGAAGTCAGACACTCATTGGGGGACTCTAAGACTAGCAGCAGATTTTGGCCCTCTTTATGAGGTATATACTCCTTTTGCACATTATTGGAGGACCAGTATTTTAAAACATGGGATATAGAAGTGGGACCCACCCTTTACTCCTGCCTTGTGCTCCTGCCGTGTGACAAGCAAATAGTAATAAACACTCTGCACAATTTTTGTTAGATTCATTATCCACAGGACCTAGTACAGAAGGCTCCTCAGTGACTCACAGGTGACTGGTCTTTTAGGCACCAATTGCATATGGGCTTACCATGATAGCGAGTGTAACTTTTACTATCTCACACTGCCTTCATGAATTATTTTGACTGTTGAATCTTTGTGAAAAAAGGTGCATAGAGTGTGTTGTATTACTTAAACCACTAATTTAAATCATTTGCAGTCAGTTAAGAAAGGAGTGTTGGATCTTAATTATACTAACATCTGCTTTATCCTTCTAGATGGTTCAGAACTTTCAAGATGAGAGTTGTTTTTTATTCTCCACAGTAAAAGGTACTTGTGTGTGTGTGTGTGTGTGCACCTAGAAATGTTGCAAGCATGAAAGATAGTGTACATCTAATTAGCAGCTCTGTGTGTGTTTATTCTGTTTAATTATTTTATTATTTTTTTATGTATATGAATGTATTGGTTCCATGTGTGTAAGTGCACCTATGTCATACAGTGCCTGCAGAGGTCAGAAGAGGGTGTTACATCCCCTGGAAGTGGAGTTACTGATGGTTGGTACCTGCCATGTGAGTGCTGGGAATTGAACCCGGGTCCTCTGAAAGAGCAGCCAGTGTTCTCCAGCCTCCAGGGTGTGCTTATTCTTTTTTTTTTTTTTGGTCTTTTTGAAACAGGGTCTCTCTCTAGCCCCAGCCAGCCTTGGAACTCACTATGTAGACCAGGCTGGCCTCAAACTCACAGAGATCTGCCTGACTCTGCCTCCCAAGTGCTGGGATTAAAGGTGTGTGCCACCATGCCTGGCAGTGTGTGCTTTAAAAAAGAAGAAGATATCTTCACTAATTTTGAGACAGGTTGGGAAAAGAACAAACAATATTTTTTAATAGTTATAATATAAACTAGTAAAAAAGGAAAAGGGTTGATCTTTCTAGGTGACTAGAAATAAACTGAGTACATTCAGCCAACATTTTATGGAGCATTTTGTGTAAGGCAAGTGTGCTGTTAGTGTTTGATGGGTTTTGAATGAAACGGGGTCCATGGAATCCCACTGTAGTGGGGAAAGAAAGCCAAAATTGGCTGCAGATGCACCAGGCTAACAGTGCTGTGAAAGAATAGGAAAGTGTGGTGCCTACTAATGGGGAAGCACAGAGCTGTTAGCAAGGCTTTTCTGAGAAAGTGACTTGAAAAATGAGCTGGCCACAGGACTAGTCCGAGGACAGTATAGGACTGTGCAAAGGAATGCACTTGGCTTCTGTGTAGCCTCAAAGAGGGCTGTGCAGCTGCCACACAAGATGTGAGGGTGAACAGGGCAACGTGGGGTGAAGGAGGGGGGAGGCCCTGGTATGCGGCTGGTGATGATAGCCATCAGATTTAATTACAGATGTGTTGGGAAGCCAGTGAAGTTGTGTAAACAAAGCAATAATATGATTAGGTTTTTCTTCAACTCTGTGGAGACAGATGGGAAGGTGGCAAAACTGGAGGTAGATTCTGTCTAGACAAGAGGTGATGGGATTTTAACCCATTGATTCATGGACAAGGGCCTATGGAGCTCCACTTTTGATGAGAGAGTAGTTGTGACTGATTGTATTTGTTGACTGACTGGGCAAGTGATAGCCTCATCAAAGAGGTAAGTAAGATTGAGATAAAGCAACTTGGTGTCAAGTAGGCAGTTAATCGCACCATTCTGGGACCTAAAGAAGAGGCTTGGCTTGAGGTGCAAATTTGGAAGCGTTGATTTGTCGACTGTGACTAAGAGCTGTACACGTGTAGATGTCATTTAGGGAGACAGCGTAGAAAGAGGGCCCAGGCCAGTTGAGGTGAACTTCATTGTTAGATAGAGGAGTTTTTGAAAGCAAAACTATGTGATGATGAATCATATATTTATAAGACTTTTAAAAAGTCAGGTGGGTTAAGGCCATGTGTCAGCCTTTCCTGGTAGTCACTCTAAAAGGAATGGCCTTAAACTATTACTATAGTTGTCCTTTGTGCTTGATGCCACTGCGCCATCAAGCTACCTGCAGTTCTGAGGTGATGTAGACAGCTGTAACCAGCAGAGCCAAATTAACTGAATTGGTTTACCTGTCAGTCACTTCCAGAAACATCTTTAGCTTAGTACCTTTTTTGTTTAATCTTCTTGTTCTTAAAGCAGAATAGTTTTTAATTGAATTTCTGTGAATTTCATACAATATTTTTATTATATTTAGAGCCCCCTCCCCTATCTGCAGACCCCCCCACTATCCCCCTGCCCAAAGTCATGTACTCGATTTTACATATTTTTATATATATGATATATATCATATATATAATGGCCTATATATTATATATACATATATGTGTATATTTGTATATACAAAAAAAAATATATGGGCCTATAGAGTCACATTTGTGTGTTCCCAAATGTCCTTTGGTATGGATCCATCAAGTGGAGCCTGGTTAAACTACCACAAGTCTTACCCTTAAAATTTGAGACTGCCCCGCCCCCCCTTCCTGGCAGCCATTGGTTTTCAGTAGTTCCTCAGAGTTTCGTATCCACATCCCCACGTCCCACGTTTATGTTGGGATTTTGTCTGGCTTGAGCTTACATGGTACTTGTGTCTTGTAAAATCAGTGGACTTTTTTTCGTGGGGGGGGGGGGCCTTTTTGAGTTGTAGCCCCAGCTGGCTTGGATTCACAATGGAGACCAGGCTGGCCCTTGAACTCACAGAGATCTGCCTACCTCTGCCTCCCAAGTGCTGGGACTAAAGGGGTGTACCACCACACCCAGCACCAGTGGACATTTGTACATCATTCCTCATGGAATTTCCCTCCAGTTTTATTTATTTGTTCTTTTTGAGACAGGGTTTCCCTGTAGCCCCAGCTGGCTTAGAACTCACTATGTAGACCAGGTTAGCCTCCAACTCAGATCTGCCTGTCTCTGCCTCCCGAGTACTGGGATTAAAGGTGTGCTCCAACACACCCGGCTCCAGTTTTAGTTTACTGTTTATTAGACTTTGTCCACATAAAAACTTTCATTTCTGTCTTTATGAACACCATCACTGCTTCTCACAATTTACTGGGGCCATCAGGCAATAGTAATATGTCTCCATCTGAGGAGTTAAAAACCACTCCGGGAAAGATAGGTGTTGTATACATTTATACTTGTACCCTAGAGTTATTTGCGTATTTTGTGCAAGGTGGTCTTTCCCCTTTGCCCTCACACAGTGCTTTGGCCTGGTCTGCCTCCAGCTTACAGTTCTTTTGCTGTAGTTTTGATGAGCTTTTGCCTTGCAGAACAGGCAAGTAGTGCAGGATAGGGCAGCCAGGCTCCCCAGAGCAGAGTGCTGAAAGGGCACATGTACGTGAAGTTGTCTAAGGGAAGAGGAGCTAGAACAAGTTAATCAGCTTTTGTTTTAAATCTCAGTGACCTTTTCATTTAGTACTTTTAATTTCCTAAGCGTGGCTAAAATTTTTAACTTCTCTTCCCTTTTTTTGCAGCTGAAAATAACGATGGTATCCACATAATTTTGAAGTGATACCTTATATATTAACTGAACTCTATTCAGTACCAAATAAAGTCACGCTTAAAAGTGTGTGAAGACTGAATCCAAGAAGTCTTGGGATTGGATTTTACTGTATGAAATGTTTCATATTGAAAACACAAATGACCTTCCTAATGAGCTGTAGGAGAGACAAGCCTCCTCATTGTCACTGCCACAGCCCAGCATCCTCGAGGGAGTGAGCACGTCGGGCAGCGTGCATCCGGCTCTGGAGCCGTGGTGCGGGCACGACTGCCACCTTCTCAGCAGAGGCCAGTGGACACAGAATCAGTCTCTGCTGGCTTTTTACACTGTATGCGGTTTGAAATGAATGTAAAAACCTCAACCGTGGGCATTTACCTTTCTGTGCCAGTTTGGCTTTTACTGCCTGACCCTTATGCTGACCTGGGGAGGAGATGGGGCGTGTTCTCCATGGGGAGCTGAGCTGTGTTGACATGGCAGTATCGGTCAGGTAAGAGGCTGAGCACCTTCTTGGAGGCAGTCAGGTCTGAGGGTATACATCCAAGAGATCCTGCCAGACCAGGAAGAGCCAAGCTGAGAAGATGAGCTTGAGACAAACTGCATTATCAGGAGTACCTTGGCGAGAGGGTCAGTGTAAATCCTAATAGGTACAAAGACTTCGGTGTTTTTGCCTTGTCACTGATTATTGAAAACCTGTTTTGCTTCTGCTTCCATTTTTAGCATTTTAGTTTCTGGTTTCCACTGTTTGAAACCTCCTTGCCTTTTAAACTCACGTGCTTTTCTCATTTCCTCCTGGTCTACATCTCTGTCCCCCATACCTTCCTTGGCTCCAGGGATCCACCTCAGCCTCCCAAGTAGCCAGGACTCCAGGTGTACACTTCTGTGCCTGGCTTTGTTCTAGAACACGTTTAAAGCCCTTCCCTAGACATTAGAAATAGGTGATGTAACTAGGGGAAACAGAGTATTATTGTTGATAGCTTCTGACTTGGTGTAAAAGGGATCTTTGTTATGAATGAGGTGAAATTACTCGTGGAAACACTAGATGTCATAATGAGACACTAAAATGTACCATAAAATCCCCCACCCCCCCTCAGATATTGAGCTTCAGTACAATCATGGATATACATTCTGGTGGTTATTTAGGGGCTTTAAAAAATACGCTGCAGCATCTCTTCCTTTTCTGTAACAAGTGTGGCTCTTTCATGCAATCAAATGTGTGCTTGCACACTGCTTCCAAGGGGAATCTGCTTCTTCTTGCCTCCCACACCTCACCTCCTCCATCACCCACAACCTTTGCAGAATTCATCAACATTTTTTTGAGGCCTGTGATGTACCAGATTGAGTTTTTTAAAACTTCTTTTCCGTCTTAATTATAGTACCCCTAACCCATTCACTCAGCTGTGTTGGCTTTGAATGTACTGTTTCATCCTTGTCTTTGTTCAAATGAAATGGGAATGATTAATTTTTTAAGTGGGAAATCTCTTCCAGAAGACAAACTACGTCAGTGGGTAAAGGCTTGACATTTTATGTTTTATTCATAAAGGGGGTTATGTATTTTCCCAAAGAACAACTGTCTCAACATGTTCATCTTTGATTTGGAAATAACAGGTCCTTTAGGAGAGCCTCCCTGTCTGTTTTCGCTTTTGTGTAACCACATGTTTTCTGTACCAGTCACTTACTTGGGAAAGAAGTGAGCTTATCTTTTGTTTTTAGAGTTGTGCTTGTCCATTTAGCATTCTTTTTTGGATCTCATGATTTATGGAACAATAAATGTCATTTAATGCTGCGTGCTATTCTGAATTCCTTATCAGGTTTTAAAAGTGGGGTGGAAATACTTAGAAGCTCATCAGACTTGAAATTAGGCTGAGCAGCATTGGGCATTAGTCTGTCCCAGTGAATTCAGTTAAATAAATTATGGCACCAGCAAATTTGCTACTTTGGTTTAACAGGATGTATACATTTCAGTGTAATAAATGTTTTATGATTCTTTTGTAAATGTGTCGCTCATTTAAATCTTAGTTCTGCTAGTGCCACCTTAAGTCACAGGGTCATATGGAATCAACCTATATTTGTCCTGAGCATGCCTTATTCCAAGTGTTGTAAGAGGTTCAGGTCCTGTGGGCTTCCCTCTCCTTTTATTCTTTTCACTTTATTTTCACAGAGCTGATGCATCTAAAGACAGACTGTTCTGTACTGACAACAAACATGGCTTTCTTACAGGTGGCTTTTCTGGTCTGTAAATGGTCATGGGTCATTGCGCAGCAAGTCCAATAGCTGTGATAGGTTCTATTCTAGCTCAGAAAAATGTGTGTGGCTCTGGTATTTAATAGCAATGAATTCATGAATTTCCTAAGCACGTCTGTTATAAGCTTATTTAAATGGCTTCCTCCATCAGTCACCATACCCCCACAGTAGTATAAACAGTTATTAAGTAACTGTTGCGGCATTCATACAGCTTTTAAACCAGGGTATACTGCAGCATAGCACGAGGCAATAAAACCATGAGTACTTTAATGCCTACTTGGTACTCTTGCTAGGTGAGTTTCTGGAGTATGCCGTGTCTGCCTTCTCTCCTAGAATGCAGCTGAGACAGTGTATCTGTAGATGCTTCAGAAGCCAGGCATGGTGGTGCGTGCCTTTAATCACAGCACTCAAGGCAGAGGCGGCAGATCTCTTTGAGATTGAGGCCAGCCTGATCTACATAACAAGTTCTAGGCCAGATGGGGCTACAGAAAGACCTTGTCTCAAAACCAGAACAAAACAAAAAGTACAAAAATCCTTCAGATACTGTCTGTGAAGCTACAGAAAACGGCTCATTTTTGCAGTTTTCCTTTAGTTTGGGAAGTGATTGCTAGGAAAGTTTAGCTATTATTAAGCTCTCAGGTCACATTTTCAATGTGGTGGTAAATGTAAAGAGCACAGAGCAAGAATCAGCCATAGTGAAAAACAGGTCATCCCATCCAATTTCAGGTTATGTTAGGAAGACCAAAATTTGAAGTGATGTTGCCCAGATTTGTCTGCTGTAAGATCACAGCAATAAAAACCCTTTGACTTAATTCTATTATGCATCATAATGGTTTATTGATTTTTTTATTTTATGAGTTTAAAAGGTGCCAACACTTTATCTGAATTTTATCTGTATAAGGTTTAAAATAGCTCTGGTATGATTTCTAAAAATTTAAAGTAAATTTGAAAAAGAATCACATCCATTCTACATGCATCCATTCATTGATTTTAACTGATTATAACTTAAACCTTAATTCTGTATTTCTTTAAGGTTCCTCCAAATTTTGTGAGAAGTGTGGACATAATTGGCTTTTTTTCCTTTAACAAAAATGCGCTATATGCTGTAGCATGTGCTAGAGCTTATAATTTCCCATCAGGCAACTCAAACAGAGCTGCCTTTGTTCAGTTTTTGGTCCCTAGAGATGGATGTGACAACTTGATACAACAGAAAGGTGAAGATCCTGCTCCACCCAGCTTAGAGGCCTCATTTCTTTGGTGTCTTATGGAAATCTAACAACATGCCTTTCACACACGTGTCTACATATAAAACTATTTAGATGTTCTGAGTTTGCAGTACAGTCACTTTGATAAAGGTGCTATTTAGTTCTCAAAGTGGAAAAGTCCTAATCAAAATGGAATCGTTGTGAATTAAAGTAGGCCACCGGCTTAAGGATCAGGTAGAAAACCAACAGGCTGTTTTGTCCTGCTCAGTGCTAGCACTGCTGACAAAGCCAAGGGTAGGCTTGTGTACCTTGATAGGTAGGTACCCACCTCTGAAGGGCTCTAGGTTTCTTGTGTGGTCTTGGTTGCCCCAGACCACTCTTGCCACAAGTTAACTGACACAGGCTTTGATTTGAGTGCATCACAGCAAAGGAAAGGTGAGGGGTATCACCAGAGTTACTGCAATCTGTACTGAAGTCTTTTACCTGTAATGCTTTCCCAATGGAGAGTCAACAGATTTGGGTAATGGTCGAGCAGTCAAAAGACTAGTCTTCTCATCACCCCTTGGGCTGAGCAGCTGCTGTCAGAGAATGACACAGCACCTGCATAGTCGATGTCCGCTTCCTGCCACTGCTGGGGGAGGGGTGACTGGAGCAAAGTAGGCGTGAACTTTGACGTGAGGAAGCTGAGCCTGGAAGTAGATGGAAAAGGGAGTCTGCCCTGGTATTCTCTGGTAACCCTCGAAACCCTACAGTCCATTTAGACTCGACTCTACCTTAATATTAGGCAGAATTTCTGCTGTAAGCTAGAACTGCTCCTATTACATCCCTCTCCACCCTCCAAATCCAACACCCTCTAAAGACAAATGAAAACTTTTAAGCTGATCTGTTTCTTCCCAGGAGTAGTAACAGCCATTTGCCAACTGAGTGAAAGTCGCTGGGTAGGACTGCTTTCAGGGTTTAGCAAACTCCTCCAAACTTAATCAAGAAAAGGACTCAGACAAATTCTGAACAAGCCAGCAAGTGCTTTTACCTGAAAATTAGCCGGAACTACCTTCTACCTATTACTGACAGTGACCTTCAGTTGCTTTCCTTGAATCCAAGCCTTGGAAGGGTGCCAGTCACTAGACTCTATGGAACCACCTCAGACCTATTTGAGTTCATTCTCCAAGAGTGGAACTTTGAAGAAGTCTATCTATAGTGGTATCTGTGTAACCCAACAATTTGCATAACAACTGGACAGACTTGAGAAGTGGATGATTTATTTTCCTTACATTTATTGTGTATTTCAAGGTCTGAGAAGAACTTTTGGGAATCAGGTCTCTCCTACCATGTGGGCTCTTGAGATTGAACTCAAGTTGTCAGGCTTGGCAGCAAGCACCTTTTCCCGCTGAGCCATTTCACCTGCCTGGATGCTGATTCTTGGTGTGTCACTCTGTTGAGAAATCAGGCCAGGATGAACTCAGACTTACCCGCATCCTCTTGATGCCTGCACGGGTGACCTGCTGGCAGTCATACAGCTCCAGTCGTTCCAGGCCCCGGCAGTTCTCCAGGTGCTCCAGGGCAACATCCGTGATGAGGAGGCAGTTGTCTAGCTCCAGCACTCGAAGCTTCTCGTGCCCGCAGGTGCTGTTGCTCAGGTGTAGGATCCCATCATCTGTGATGAGCTCACAGTGGGACAGGCTCTGAGAGGGGAGATGGGACATGTTCATAGGACCCTCATTCCAGATTTCAGCTCTAGAAGCTGGGAAGCTAGCTCACAAAGTATCCCAGAGGTAATGGTTTGCTATATACCTTGGAAATCACATGCTGGAAATTTGATCCCATGCAGTGGGGATGGCCACCTTTATGAAGGAATGGATGGCTATAAGGGCTTGAGGCTGAGAACTTGCTTCACATCTCCCTCCTTTGCCCTTCTGCCTTCTGCTGTGGGGTGACAGCAAAAAACCCAAAACCTCACCAAACTGACAGCCCATCAATCTTGAACCTGTGGGAAATACACTTTTTTTTTTTTGGTCTTTCTGAGACAGGGTCTCTCTGTAGCCCCAGCTGTCCTGGAACTCACTATGTAGACCAGGCTGGCCTTGAACTGACAGAGATCTGCCTGCCTCTGCCTCCCGAATGCTGGTATTAAAGGCATGCGCCACCACGCCCGGCATGAAAAACACTTTTTTTAAGCACCTAGTCTATGGCATTCTGTAAAAGCAGCACAAAATGACCAAGACACTGTTTCCTTGGGCAGGGAGGAGCTGGCAGAGCCTTTGGTCATCTTTGCTGCATCAAGACCATTAACAGCCAGCTTTCTAACCAGAAAGGAAATGGCGCATTTCAGTTTACCCATCGAGAGCAGTATTATGGCCAAATTCTCCAATTCAGTACAGCCAGAGGTTTTGATGTTCTTGTTCGTTAAAAAAAAAAAAAAAACAGGCTGGAAAGATGGCTCAGCAGTTAAGAGCACTGGCTGCTCTCACAGACGACCTAGGTTTGATTCCTAACCATGGCAGCTAACAATCATCCATAACTCCATTTCCAGGGGATGTGACTTCATTTTCTGGTCTCTGCAGGCACTGCATGACATGGGTGCTCTTAAACATACACAGAAGCAAAATACTCATAACCCATAAACATTTAAAACAAAATGTGCAAACAGCCACAACTTTGTGGTTGTACTGAGCGTCTTTGAAGATTTTGACAAATAGACCATGAACCTTAATCTCACATTGCTAGCCTCTTGTTGGTAAAGATTTCAGAGGGTACTTCAGCTGGATTTAACAAAGCCAAGTGACAGTTCTCTTACCAGTTACCTCATTGATGATAATTTCAGACTGGACAGCTTCCCCAGTGTATATCAAATAGAATATTCTAAAAGTTCTTTAGTGGCAGAAAATAAACTGTCAGACTGAGGCTGTCTGAGAACAATTGACAGATTTACCCCAAGGAAGAGACTACTGAACTCTGAACTAACGTGACATAGGAGCTGGGTGGGAAAGTACAAAAGCTTGCTATATGGCTGAGGGTAGGGGGAGAATGTCAAATTCAGAGTGGAGAGTATGCTCCCAGATGCAGTGGAAACAGGGAGGAGCTAAATCACAGGCTTTTCCAGGTTATATAAATGGATTTTTTTTTTTAAATATGAGAGGCATGCATAGTCCACAGCACACATGTAAAGGTCAGAGGACACTTCTGAGTGTTGGTTCGCCGATCCTAGGCATCAAACTTGGGTCGTCAGGCTTGGTGGCAAATGCCCTTACTCCTGGAACCAGCACATGGGCTTAATTTTGATCCCAGGGTCACTAGGAATGTGGTGATGGTCCTCAAAAAGCTCATCAGTATACCATCTTAATTCCTTAAATGCTTGGAAGATGCAAGCAAAACCATTTGTACCTGAACATTTTGGAGGGTTTTTAAATTTCCTTATGAGTATTTGTGTCATTTAAATTATATCAAATGGGTTTCACCTGTGTCACCAAATTTATTTACTTTGTAGTACTGGTTCAGCACCCATAATGTGAATATCTGAAATTCTCTGAAGTTTAAGTATTGATACATACTTCCCAGCACAAGTGGGAGGTTCCACAGCTGACTTTATGTGAGGCCAGGCCAGAGTTGAAACACAGGTGCATGGGCAATTGTGTTAAGGTATGTGTTAAACAGAAAAATGAGTTCTCTAGATTTGCGTCCTAGTCCCAAGCACTTCATTGTATAAATGCTTATTATTCAAAAATGCCAAAATCTGAAAGCCCAACACTTCTGTACAAAGTTTTAGATAATGGACATTCAAACCAGATTCTTTTCATCCCTTTCAAAGTCTCAGATCTGCTGACAACTCCCATTTGACTCCTGATATTAATAATAGTAGTCTGTCATCTTTTTCTAGGTGTCTGTTTTTGAAGAAACAGATTTGTGTTTCTCTGATACTATTTTTTTTTTCTTTCAGTTGAACTGATTTCTACCATATTATATCCTTATTTGGGTTTTATTTTGCTCTTTTCTGGCTTCTTGTGGTTGTCAACATGTAACTGTCAAATCCCTTGTCCCAGTGTCTGATGCCCATGGGGTAGGGGCCTTGTTACTATAGGGAGGAAATGGTAGTTCAGACTCCTGCAGACAGCCCTGACTCAGTGTGGGGAAGACACTTGGCTATCACCTGGTGACCAGGTTCTCTTTGTGATCCCCAGTGACCCTGGGTATGGGGGCAGCAGCTTGTCACTAGTGGACAAAGATGAAAGACTGCTCCGCTCCACACTCACACTTTGTTGTCAGGGTGAGGGCAGTGCAGTTCCTTCTGCTTTGGGTTAGTGCAGAGTTGCTTTTTGTTTTGGCTTTGTTTGTTTGTTTTGTTTTTTTCAATCTTTTTTTGAGACTGTCTCCCTATAGACAAGGCTGGCCTTGAACTCAGAGATCCACTAGCCTCTGCCTCCCAAGTGCTGGGTGGGATTAAAGGTGTGCACTGCCACACTTGGCTAGTGCAGAGCTGTCAGAAATGTTTCTTAGTAGGCCACCCCATTCTTGGTCCTTTGATCAGAAAGATCAGGTTCTTGGGGATTTTTTCTGAGTCTCAGCTTCTCTAGAGCCCTGCAAAAGAACACATGCTGCTAGTAGGCTTCTAGGATGGCTGGCTTTGTCATCTTCCCTTGATTTCCTGACACTTAACTGAAAGTCAAGTGGTAGGGTAAGAAAGTATGGTTTCAAGTCAAGTGGAAGGTTTTTGAGCTAAGGAAGGTCATTTCCAGCAAGGAAGGGAGGCTGTGTCTTTCTCACTTCTTCCACTGGGCAGTGCTTCTCAAGGGCTGCCTCAGGAGCAGTTTGCTGGTCAGAGATTCGGAGGACACAGCCTAAGGAATAAGAGGGATTCCTCTTTCCACAGCCTGAAGCTTCCCCCAAACTCTCCCAGCAGTCATCACCTGAGAGGCTGGTGTTCCAGCACTGAAGGTGAGGTCAGGCTCTTGACAAAGCTACCTGAGACTGGTCGCACAAGGGAATGGCAGTGAAACTTGCTGGAACCATCCCCTGCTGCTTCCTCTTCAATGAAGTAGCTCTTCCTGGTGATGGAGTGCAGGGCTGTGTCACAGCTGGCAGCCTGAGAAGGCCTGAGCCCCACAGCAGTAGGGATGTCACAGCACAAGTACCAGCCTGCTTCTGGGGCTTAGGCATGTCTGCATCTTCCTTTCATCCAGGGAGAGTCTGGTAGATTCCCCTGACCAGGCCTGCACAGCCTGTACTGGAGCAGAGCACAAAGATCCAGTTTCTGTCCCTAGAAGTGATGCTCCAGACTGCAGGCTGAAATCCCATCACAAGAAGCTACCTTGCACTTACAGAGTTTCTACTATCTAAAGGTAAAATCACAACCACTAAAAATCAATGCAGATATAGCTACAAAGTCAAAGGATAAAATGTTAACAAAAATAAGTTTATCAAAAAGAAGCACACAAGAACAGAACAGAAAAAACAACAGTAAAATGAAGGACACAAATGCAACTTTCAATATTACATTAACATAAATGACTAGACAGTCCCATTAAAAGGTAGAGATTGCCGGGTGTGGTGGCGCATGCCTGTAATCCCAGCACTTGGGAGGCAGAGGCAGGTGGATCTCTGTGAGTTTTGAGGCCAGCCTGGTCTACATAGGTGTTCCAGGCCAGCTGGGTCTACAGGGAGACCCTGTCTCAAAAAGACCAAAAAATTAAAATAAGAGGTAGAGATTAAGGGGGACAGAGTTTAGTGGTAGAGTGCTTGCCTAGCATGATTAGGGGCCCTGGGTTCAAGCTCCAGTTTGGGGTGGGGACTGCAAGTTCCAGGCCAGCCTGGGCTACATGGTAAGACCCTGATTCAAAAGCCAAGGGCTGAAAGATGTAGCTAAGTGACAGAATGCTTGTATTGTGTGAGCAAGGCTCGATTTGATCCCCAGCACTGAAAGGATTTTTTTAAAAAGTAGGCTAGGGGAGAGTGCTGAAATAAAAATAAGCCAGGCATGATGGTGTACACCTTTAACCTTAGTACTTGGAAGGCAAAGATAGGTGGATCTCTGAGAGATTGAGGCCAGTCTGGTCTATATTAAAGTTCCAGGCCAGCTGAGGCTAAAGAGACCCTGTCTCAACAAAACAAAAACAAATTAGGTAAAATCAGACCCAACTACATGTCTCTCAGAGACATAAAAATACAGGTAAGAGTTGGCTTAGTGGCTAAAAGCACTGGCTGCTCTACCAATGGACCTGGGTTTGGCTCCCAGCACCCACATGGCAGCTAACAACTGTCAGAAACTCCAGTTTCAGGGATCCATCTCCCTCTTCGGGCCTCTATGGGCATTGTACACACATGGTGCACATACATGCAGGCAAAACACTCATACACACAAAAATAAAAAACAAGGGGCTGGAGAGATGGCTCAGCGGTTAAGAACACTGGTTGTTCTTGCAGAAGACCTGGGTTCAAATCCCAGTACCCACGTGGCAGCTAACAACTGTCAAAAACTCCAGTCCCCAGGGGATCCGACAGCCTCTTCTGACCTCCGGGGGCACTGCACCACATGGGTGCACTTGTCTACATGCAGGCAATACACACATACACGTGAAATAAAAATAAAACTTAAAAAAAAATAAATAATAGAAAACAAAACAGCATCAGAAGGCTGTTCACATCTGATAAAGCATATTTCCAAACAGAGAGAGGAACATTTTGTACGATGCCAAGGTTGGTTCATCAGAAGACTGACCAAATGAGCTTGTGTGTATCTCATCCAATAACGAAAACCTAAAGGTCTCAGTGGGGGTGGTGAGGGGTTCAGGGAGTCTGTGCTAGAGCTGGGGTTTGGTCCCAGCAGCTGACACAATACATATGGGCTCCCAGGGAAGAACTGCCTGTGGACCTGTGGGAGCAACCTCATGGGTCTTGTGAAGCTTGACAGCCTGTGATGCCTACAAATTCAGAAGAAGCCACAGTCCTTCATTTGGGAGCAAAACAGATTGGTTCACTTCACTGTTCTGCCATAGAACTGTGGCATCATAGACCACCAGGCTTTGTGAGGCCCGTGGACAATCGAAGGAGTGGGGCTATAGTCCCTGCCTCCCCTCAGCCTTCTCTCCCTCACCCCAACACCCACCTGGGGTCTCTGTGTCAAATGCCCCAAGCATCCCAAATCTCACTCTTGTTCCTGCTTCCAGGCTGGCTCAGTTGTGGAGAGTGAGTCATAGCAGGGTGTCACCAAGAGGAATGTGGGTTGAGGGAGCATTAATTGCCTCTGTTTAGGCTGAGTGGGTAAGGAGACATCAAATGGGTGACTGGCAGTGACGCTGCAATGGGTGATAGAAAAGGTGACTAGGAAAGGTGGGAGGTGCCCAGCAGGCAGTGGGACAAGAAACAGAATCTGTGTCAGATTATTTTTCCAGTTACTCAGTGTTTCTACTTAAATTGGAGATGCCCACCTAAGCATCAGCAAGGATATCTGGGCTTCCTTTGAACAGGTTCCACCACATCCAGACCTTCCAGGAACTGTTCTTTCTGAGTCTGGAACCCCCATTTGCAAGTATGCATTTCATCTACTGTAAGACACGGGTTTTGGGGGGCTGGAGAGATGGCTCTGTTAAGAACACTGACTGTTCTTGCAGAAGACCCAGGTCTGAATCCCAGCACCCACATGGAAGCTAACAACTGTCTGTAACTCCAGTCCCAGGGGATCCAACAGCCTCTTCTGTCCTCCGTGGGCATTGCATGACATGGGTACACTTAACCTATGTGCAAGCAATACACAAATACATATTAAAAAAATAATAAAATATATCTATTTTTAGAAAGGTTTCTCTTTTGATTAGCCTTTCACACTAAGCTAAACCCTTGGGAATCTCTCTGTGATCCCCACTGGCAAAAGACCTGTGAAACAACAGCCTTGGGAACTGGGCAGGTGGTGTCTTCCTCATTTCTTCCTTGGAGATCGTCACTAGAAGATGATAGCCGATTCCAACGTTTAGAACAGTTCTCACAATAGTACTGCTGCCTCTGACCCTCAAGCCTGGGAGGTGCCACTGACACACACACTTGTGCTTGCCCTGGCTGCCTTGTCTGACTTCCTGAGCTGCTCCTTCAGGGTCACGTGCCCCAGTCCAAGGCCTGCAGAGGACGTGTGACGTGATATACTCTGGCAAGGAGCTGTGATCGCTCCTCATGTGCTGTTATGTCATTCAGACAGGTGATCATACATTTAGGACCACTGTACTACAAATGTACTTCAAACAGAACCTGCACTTGAAGCTGGACGTGGTGGTGCACGCCTTTAATCCCAGCACTTGGGAGGCAGAGGCAGGTAGAGCTCTGTGACTTTGAGGCCAGTCTAGTCTACATAGTGAGTTTCCAGGCCAGGTGGGGCTACAGGGAGACTGTCTCAAAAAGACCAAAAACCAACCAAACAAAAAACCTGTACTTGGAGTTTGCCCTCACATTGTTAGTGCAGGAGAGGTGCTCCAGGAGTGTCGGGGACCAGTGTTCCTCATACAGTCCATCCTTGAGGATCCTCAACATTTTAGAGCCAGGATGAGGTTGGTGTTTGTTGCCTGAGGACTCACGTCTTTCAGTATGAGAACAGCTCCCACAGGGGAACCCCCAGAATGACTGTAGAGTCAATCAGATGTGCTAAAGCCTGTAATGTGTCTCAGAACCTCAAAGCTAAGTTATGACTTTACCCTGCTTTTCTGCTAATTATTCTTTGTGTTTCTTATTTTGGGCTCTAACACAGGTGGTCTGGAGAAAGTTTGTGTATTTGAGCCCAGGCTGGGCTCAAATTCTCAGTCTTCCTGCCTCAGCCTCCCAAGTGCTGGGACCAGGGCTGTGCACTTTCATACCTGCTGGTTTCTGGTTATAGCTCAGTTTAGTCCTCTCTGGAAATAGCACACATAAAAACAGGGGACTAGATAGAGGGTTTTGGTGCCCAGAAACCCCCAGGGGAAGGACTGTTGTTTATTGGAAGGCATTCCCAATGGGGCAGTGGCCCTGCTCCTTGCAGGAAGATCTGCTGTTAGATCATTCAGAACACACCCAGATCTCTTTTCCCTACAGCTGAGCAAGTATAAAAGGCAAACAACACACGGATGGCCCCACTCTTTGGTCTTAGAGTATGACACTTTAACATTCTCACTTTCACTCTGCCCAACAAGATGAACATGGGGTTGAGTGAACCAATGAGTCATAGGGCTCCATCAAGTTCACATCCTACACTAGAAGAAGTAACATTCATATGCTAACCTGGGCAGTCCAAGCTAGCCCAACGAGTTAATGTTTGACACCAAGGATGCTGGCAGCTTTACAGAAATGGGGCCCACATAACATGCTGAGGGGAAGGACCTTTCCATTCTGAGGAGGAGCTCAGACTCACCAGGGCCTGCAGCTCGGGACAGTGAATGGAGAGCTGGATAAGTGTGCTGTCCGTTATCTGGAAAGAAACACCCTGTGTCAGTGTGGCATCTATGCCAGGACCTTCCCTAATCCTGGGGTCTCTGAACATGGGGATTGGAAGGTGCAAAAGAGAATTAAAACCTCCTCCAAGTACATGCCAGCCAAGGGCTGAAGTCATTGCTTGCAACCTCAAACTGTCCACTCCCAGGGAGGCACAACTGTTCTCAAGGCTTATATCTGGTACCCAAGGGAGCCTTGGGACAGTACACAAAAGCGAGTGGGCAAAGTGGGGGGGGGGGTCCCGCCAGTTTCTCCACTGTAGCCACCCTATTTCAGGACATGCAAGTTCTTTCTCCAACAGGGTCTATGAAAAAGTAAAAGACCCTTTTAGGTTTATAGTAGATGGAGCTCTGAGTTTCTCTACTACAATTCTGATGACCTGTAATAGCCTAATGCTTACAAGTCCACTGCTGTAGTCTAATGGGATCCCAATCTCCACCACCATGCTGAGGCAATGGCAGCAGGTGCCTGTGGTAACTGAGCAGCTCCGAGGGGCTGTCAAGACTCCACTCACCAGGACGCACTCCTCAAGATCCATCTTCTCCAGGTCATGGCAGTTCTGAAAGAGGCCATGAGAAAGCTTACTGTGCAGGCAGCAGAAGTGTAGCCCACAGCTCTCCCATCCCTCTGAGCACAGGCCTGCACTCCTTGTTCTCTGCCACTGAGCTATGGGCCCCATTCCTACAGTCATCTCAGTCTAGCCCTTCTGAATGGCTGCCCTCTTAGTCATTTTGGATGTGAGAAGGGACCACCCTGGGCTGCACCCCTTCTCAACCTGGAAAGAGTCCCCTACACCATAGACCAGACTCTAGGAGGACCTGGGAATGGGTACTCAGACCCATGTGGGGGATAGGGAAGATAGTAGGACATGGGCCCTATGGTACACAGGCAGTATGGAAGATCACCAGAGGGCACAGTACAAAGGTAGGGGATGTTTTGCGGAGGCCAATCTGGGGTCCATATAGGAAGGGCACCTGCTACTGGACAGGACGCTCTACTGGGTGATTCCCCCGACCAGATGACTGAAGCCCACATCCTCTGCAGGCATGTCTATCTGCAGCCCGTGGGCTGCGTGTAGCCAAGGGTAGCTATGAATGTAGCCCAGCACAAAATGGTAAACACTTAAAACACTGAGATTTTTGTGAATTTTTTCAAACTCAATTGCACAGTTCTCAACATGAACTTTGCAGCTGACAATGTCGTGTTGCTATGTTGAAAGGTTGGACATGCCTGCCAGGACCTCCCTAGAATTCTGGCTAGCTGGAAAAAAGCATAAAACCCACTCTGAGGATTCTGGTCTATCATGTGCTTGTCTTTTCTGAAGCTTGTTTCTTTGACTACCCCAAACCACCCCAAATCACTCTGAATTAGGAAGATAAGGTTACAGTGTGGTTTTGTTTTTAAAAATCTATGCCTTACCCGAGCTAAAAGTGTAAAGCCTGCATCAGTCAAATGAGAGCATCGGGAAGCCTCCAAAATTCTGGAGAGGGGGTATAAGGGGAGAAAAAAGCAGCGTGTGGTTAACAACAGAAACATCCTGTATGACACATGCTCTTGAGTTTACTATGCTCTGACATATTCTGGTCATGCCCCTCTGGGTTGCAGATGCAAAGACTGGCCCTCTGCATAGACAAGCAGCTCAGGGAGGGCTGTGACCAAAGTCTTAGCTCCTCACAAACACAGACAGCAAAAACAGAAACCTTGCTGTGGGATTGAACTCAGAGTCTTGTGCAAATGCTCCACCATTAAGCTACATCCTCACCCTCTAGACACTGAAACCTCTAGTTACCCTCTAGGAAATTTTTAACTTTGTAGGTGATGAAAGCCAGGAGTTAATTCTCACAAGAACTGAAACAGTTTCATTGGGATGTAAAAAGTTTTTGTAGTGGTTGTTTTTGTTTTTAATACAATTTTATTTTATATGTATGAGTATTCTGTCTGCATGTATGTATGTACACCAGTGTCATACAATGCCTAAAGAGGCCAGAAGAGGTCATTAGATCCCTGGAACTGGAGTTCTAGACAGCTGTTAGCCATCTTTGTGAGTGCTGGGAACCAAACCCGGGTTCTCTGCAAGAGCAGTCAGTGCTCTTAACCATAAGCCATCTTTCCAGTTCCTATGTAAAAAGTTTTTAAGAACATTTTTCCCCACCTCTTGTATAATTTGGGTTGAGATGGCTAGTTCTGAAATCACAATCTACAGGTTCAAAATCTTTCCTCCTTATTCATCATGAGACTCGGGACAAACTGATCTTCCTCTGAGTCTCAGTTTCTTCTTTGCAAAACAGGTGAAAATAAGTGTTTCTTCACATGGATGTGTTGAGGTTAAAACGGAATACAAAGCATCTAGCACAGAGCTAGCCCAAAGTCTACGTGTGTAGGCTCTGAGTCATTGCAATGAAAGGTCCTACACTTATGGCTGCTAATGAAAATAAATTGCCTTGGGGCTGGAGATGGCTCAGCAGTTAAGAGCACCAGCTGCTATTGCTGAGGACCTGGGTTCAAATCCCAGCACCTCAATGGCAGCTAGCAACCATCCATAACTCTAGTTCCAGGGGATCCAACGCCTTCTTCTGACCTCTGTGGGTATTGCACAACACAGGTGCACTTACAGCATTCAGGCAATACACTCATACACAGAAATAATGAAAATAAAAAAATTTTTTTTAAAAGAAAAGAAAATGTATTGCCTTGAGAATAAACATGGATTACATGTTACATGTTAAAACAAAACCTTTCAGCCGGGCGTGGTGGCACACCTTTAATCCCAGCACTTGGGAGGCAGAGGCAGACCTCTCTGTGAAGCCTCACTCTTTGTGAGTTTGAGGCCAGCCTGGTCTACATAATGAGTTCCCGGACACCTGGGGCTACAGGGAAACTCTGTCTCAAAAAGACAAACAAACAAACAAACAAAAAAAAAAAACCCCACCTTTCTTCCTATTAAAGATCATAGAAAGTGGTGGTGACAGTTCCCTCATTTTATCCCTTTAGGGACAGGTTTAGCAGACACTATCATGGTCCATTAGATCATTTTAATGGTCAAAGCAGTAACATGAGGCAAATTAGGGGCGAATGCATGAAACTGATCAAGAAATGATGCACTAGACTCAGTGGTGCTAGATACTCCTTCCGCTCCTGAACAGGAATTAGGTGCCAACTTGCCCCCAAACGTCCAACAGCTCCTGGCTCCATCCTCAGTTCTCTGCCTGCTGGCAAGCCTTCCCCTGCCTGCAGCCCAGCCACACTGTGGCCACAAGGCAAAAGGCCAGTCATACTCACTGCAGTTTAGGGCAGTTCAGGCCCAGGGCTGTGAGAGATGCATCGGTGAGGTTGCTACAACCTGAGAGGCACAGAGCCTGTAGCCGGTGGCAGCCCCTGCATATCTGCACCACGCCATCATCAGTGATACGCTGGGGGAAGATCACAGAGAGAGGAAGAAGTCAGGGCCCAGCACTGAAGCAGAATGTGGGGAGGAGGGGGTGAGAAACAGACCCCCTGCCCCTCACCTGGCTTTGCTGCCAGGTACCAACACTTTACCCTAAGACATAAACAGAATGGAAGCAGGCCAGGTGGGTACCACTTGCCTATAGTCCTGTCACTTGGGATATGTGGCAGGAAAATTGCAAGTTCTGGTCCATCCTGGATGATATAGTGAAGCCCAGCCTCAAAAACTCAAAACCAGTCAGATGTGGTAACATATATCTTTAATCCCAGCACTCAGTAGGTAGATCTCTGAGTTCCAGGCGAGCCTGCTCTACATAGTGAGTTCCAGGCCAGCCAGTGCTACACAGCAAGACCCTGTCTCAGAAAACAAAAGACTAAGATTCATTCATTACAATCTGAATGCAAGGTCTTTCTCTTACCTTTCTCAAAATCTCTGTTCCCTTCGGAAATGCTGCTCGCTCCTGTGTGCATGTGTTCTACCTGCCCGCTCTCAGTGGCAGTGAGCAAGGGTGCAGTCTCCCAGACTAACGTCTTGATGAGAAGGCTGCCTTGCTCTTGCATATGCCCTTTACTTACAGAGTTGCTGTCTCTGTGTGCATATCAGGTACATGTGTGTGTATGCGCAAGTCCATGCAAGGACAAGGCACAGAAGACAGAGGACAACTCCAGGTGATAGTCCTCAAGTGCTGTCCAGTGAGTCCCTTATTGCCTTAGAACTTACCGAGCAGACTAGGCTAGCTGGCCAGTGAGTCCTCCTGCCTCTGTCCATTGCTGGGCTGACAAGCACACACCACCATGCTCAGCTTTTATTTTTGGTCTTTTCAAGACAGGGTCTCCCTGTAGCCCTAGCTGACCTGGAGCTCACTATGTAGAACAGGCTGGCCTTGAACTCACAGAGATCTGCCTGCCTCTGCCTCTAAAGTGCTGGGACTACAGGCATTGCCACCACGTCCGGCTTACCCTCAGTTTTTTTACATGGGTTGTGGAGGTCACACTCAGGTCCTTGTGCTTGTATATCAAGCACTTTCCAGACTCGGTCATCACCCCAGCCCAACACTATTGTTCTCACTGAGAAATTACAGGTGCTATCACCTCCACTGTGTAAAGTTTAAAAAAAAAAAAATAAGACTGAGGGGCCAGAGAGATGGTTCAGTGGTTAAGAGCATTGGCTGCTTTTTCAGAGGATCTGAGTTCGGTTCCCAGCACCCACATGCCAGCTAATATCCATCTTTAACTCCCATTCCAGTTCCAGGAGCTCCAACATCCTCTTCTGGCCTTGTCAGGCACTGAACACCATGAGTGCACTTACATACATGCAGGCAATACTCATACACATAAAATAAAAACAAAAGCCTGGTGTGGTGGCACACACCTGTAGTCCCAGCACTCAGGAGGCAGAGGCAGGTGGATCTCTGTGAGTTCAAGGCCAGCCTGGTTTACATAGTGAGTTTCAGGCCAGCTGGGGCTAGAGGGACACCCTGTCTCAAAAAGATAAAAAAATAAAAAATTTTTAAAAAGTAAATATATATTTTGAAATGACATTGAGGCTTTAGCATGGGCTGTTCAGGTCTCATAGCTTGTTAGTGAATTGTTCACAGTATTCCTAATAAGATTCCTCAGTTTTTGTTTTCAAAGAGCCAGTCAGGCATGGTGGCACACACCTGTAATTCCAGCCTTCAGTATGCTGAGGCAAGAGAATTTCAAGTTCCATGGTAGCTGTCTGTCTGTTTCCCTCTCTCTGTACAAAAATTAAGAAAACCCATTTTTAGCATCCCTGGAAATGTCAGGGACTTTTTGCTGAACATGATGGCTTATTCTTTTATCTCCTGACACACTCACAGCTTCACTAAGGGCAGGGGATGGAAAATCGGGGCAGGGCAATGTGGCCATCTGCATGAGGAGTGGGCAGCACCAGGGTCTCATGCAGGTGGCCAGGGGTGCTACTTACTGAGCAAGACTGCAGGTTGAGGCTTACGAGCTCATGGCAGTAGTTCTGAATGTGTTTCAGAGCTTCATCTTCTAACTGAGTGAATGGAGAAAACAAAAGACAGGTAGAATTCAGGTGAGAGACCTGGCCAGGCACCAAGACGACTACCCTGGCAAGGAGAACTGTCTGGCCAGCTTGTGGTCCTCCCTACCTGTGTGCAGCCCCTCAGGAGCAGGGCTTTCAGGCCTCGGCACCCCCGCACCAGCGCCTCAATGCCATCCTTCGTTATCTGGTCACACCAGGAGAGGTTCAGGTACTCCAGATTCCGGCAGCCCTCGCTGAGAACAAGGAATGTGTACAGCACTGAGCTTAGTACATCTCCACAGCAGGGAGGGAGTCAGCCTGGGACCTGGCTCCAATCCTCACTCCAGTGAGAGCACTGGGGTGCCTCACAGCACCAAGGTGCTTACTACACCAGGTTGTTTGTGTTCTGGTATATGTTGTGGAATGTGTGTGCATATTCCTGCATGTGTGTGAGCGCATACAGGTCTGGATGTACATGCACATGTGTGTGGAGGCCGGAGGTTGATGTCAGGTGTTTTTTTCAATCACTCCTCACCTTTTTTTGGTTGTTGTTAGTTTTTCAAAAATCACTTTATTGTGATGGATTCACACACAAAAACATCACAGATTAACACTTGAATAAACACTTGCCTATCCCAAACTCTATTAGGGTCATTCTGAAGCCGTGGGTTCTGCCTAAGCTTTTACATTTTCACTATCGGTTTTTCCTTTTCTGTTTTTTAGAGTCAAGGTCTCCCTGTAGCCCCAGCTGGCCTGGAACCCACTATGTAGACCAGGCTGACCTCAAACTCACAGAGATCCACCTGCTTCTGCCTGAGTGCAGAGATTAAAGGTCTGCGCTAACATGCTTGGCCTCTACATTTTTATGCAGTTGTCCACCACACACTAAAGAGAAGAAAGCATGACAGGGTTGAAACCAGAGAAACGCCAAGCTTTGTATCTGCCTTCGCAATGCCCGTCTTCTGCCTGAATTCAGTCCTTCCCCATCACGTGGTCTCTCATTGAAACTAGAGCTCAGCAGTTCAGATAGGTTGGCTGACCGAGCCCCTCCCCAGCACTGGGGTTACAGGCATGTGCCACCATGCCGGGCTTTTTGTGTGGATTCTGGGGTTGGAGCTCAGGTCCTCATGCTTGCACAGCAAACACTTTACAGACTGAGCCATCTCCCCAACCCACACTGGGTATCTTTCTGAACCTCAAATACCAAGCACTCTCACCTGATACCCTTTAAGGAGCTGTTGGTAATAGACACACAGGAGGTGAGATCCAGGTGTTTCAACTTGGAACAGAATCTGCTAAGGCTGTAACACGTGCTGGAAAAAAGCAGACGCACTAAAGATATTTTCAACTTTGTTTTTCTCTCTTCACTCTCCCTCTGGCCACTTTGTCCCCAAACTCATTCTTACTCCTTACCTGTCAGTGATTTTTATGCAACCATTGAGGTTTAAATGTTCAATGTTTCGACAGTTCTGTGCAAAGGTCCTAAAATGAGAAAAAAAAGCTTTTTTCATAGCGGCAAGAAAACTTTATTTAAAGCAAAGCAATAGAAAAGATCAGAATACCCTGCAAGGGCATCAGACCACGAGTGAAGAAACTCAAGGGCAGATAAAATGCTCATAAGTTGCTCTGGTGGCTGCGAGTTACCAGGCGGCCATTAGAGGGCAGCATAACCAACCACTCAGAACAGCGCTTTCAAATTCTATTTAATACCATGCAAATGAGCAAAGGTCCAGGGGCTACCACTGCGACTAGCCAGGATCCACTTTGAGAAACAAAGCCCTCCTCCAGAGGCAACTTGGTGATCATCTGAGGATGGGGGCCTGGCTCCCTGTTCCTCCTCTAGCCAGTTTGAAGAAAGGCAGAGACTCTTTCTCTTACTGTGCCCTATCACACTTGTTACCTGAGGGCCTTTTTTCTTCACAGTTCACGGAGAGGGGTCAGTAGTACTAGTATTGAGACCCATCCTTTTACTGGAGAGGACTGGGAATCATGAAGTGCAGCTGCATGGATGGTGTGTGTTGATAGCAAGACAAGAAGCAGAAAACTCTGTACCTCCTACTGACCACTCCCTGCCAGGGTGCTTCAGGCCCCAGGCAACCTGCATCCTCCGGAAGTACATCAGAGAGTCTCAGAGGACTGAGTTCTAGTACCCAGAGCCTCTAAATGCTGCTTACAGAGTTTCCTTGTCACCTTATCTTCTTGCTCTGTCCAACCAAGGGGTGGGCATGGGGAACCAAACTGGAACTTGGGATGGATAGATGGAGGCTAATGTCCAGGAAGACCAGGACATCTGGAAGTGTGTGAGAGCAGATGCACAAGCACGCCAGCAGCACAGAGTGTAGCCCTTAGGCATGAAGGCCAGAGAGCTACCCAAGACTGGAAGCAGAATCAGCTAAAAGCCTTGGAGGAGGCAGACTGGCCTCTCCACTAGTCAAGGTTTAAAAAGTGATTATTAGCTGGGTGTGGTGGCACATGCCTTTAATCCCAGCACTCGAGAGGCAGAGGCAGATCTCTGTGAGTTTAAGGCCAGCCTGGTCTCCATGGTGAATCCAGGACAGCTGGGGCTACAGGGAGACCCTGTCTCAAAAAGACCACTTACAGTAACAGTGATATCACTGGGCGTGGTAGCACACACCTTCAATCCCAGCACTTGGGAGGCAGAGGCAGAGGCAGGTGGATGTCTGTGAGTTCAAGGCCAGCCTGGTCTACATAGTGAGTTCCAGTACAGCTGGGGCTACAGGGAGGCCCTGCTTCAAAAAGAAAAAAAAAAAAGAGAAAGAAAAAGAAAAATAAAAGTGATTATTTATGAGGATTGGCTAGTGAGACGAGTCTTGCTAAACACTGCTCTGCCTGACCTAACAAATCTTTTAATTAATTAATGGATTGACTGATTCTTGTGGTACTGGGGATCAAACCGGGAGCTTCACATATGCTATGCAAATCCTCTACCCCACTACACCCCACCAGTCCCAAGCCTGATAAAAAGTAAGGCCTGAAAAGAATAGTCCGTAATGTCTCAAGTGCATCCCAGATGTAAACTCAAGAGTGTCTAGAGAAACATGAAAATGTCCCACACCCAACCAAAAAGATACTGATGTCTGCCACTGAAAAAAAGACCTGCCATGTCCTCAATGAAGGGGGAAAGTATCTCCATAATGAAGAGACAATTCATTCTATCAAAGTCTACTCAGAGCCGACATAGCAATACCAGCAGATAAGGACATTGAAAGTGGTAACATTCCATAGAATACTAAGTAGCCACATGAAGCTTAAACATTATGCAGAGACAGCAAAAGAGTTTTTGTTTGCCTGCTTGAGAAGAAGACTATGGCTGGTGTGATGGCACCGCCTTTGATCCCAGCAATCAGGAGGCAGAGGCAGAGGCAGGTGGATCTCTGTGATTTAGAGGCCAGCCTGATCTACATATTGAGTTCCAGGCCAGCAAAGGCTACATAATGAGACAGTGAGATGCCGTCCAAAAAAAAGAAAAGGAAAAGAAAAGAAAGAGAAAAAAGACATAAAGATATACATTAAACTTTAAATATGAAAATTTAATGGCTGAGATGAGAATTTACTGGATGGAATTAACAGCAGGCAAAGGAGACTCCAAAATAAAGCAGAGAGCTGAGGGCAGGGGATGTGGCAGAATGCCAAGTGCCTAGTACATGCAAGGCTCTGTTATGCTCTTCAGCACCTGTCTTGTGTGCGCCCTCCTCCCCCACAGCTGGTCTGGGGTGTGGCTCAGTGGCAAGGTGCTTACATGGCATATATGAGTTTCCATCCCCAGTACTACAAGGAAAAAAAAATCAATGTATGAGCATTAATTATTTTTCTATTTCTAATAATGGACAGTGAAGAAGCCTAGAATAAGCCATACTGTTTGCAAGAGCACTTCAGAATATCCAGAACTAGGAACTGGAGAGGTGGCACAGAGGGTAAGAGCCCTTACTGCTCTTGCAGAGGACCTAAGTTTAGTTCTCAGCACCTGAGTTGGGTGGTCCATAACCACCTGTAACTCCAGTTCCAAGGGATATGATGCCCTCTTCTGACCTCCATGGGTACTGCACTCAGATGCACATATGCCCCCCCAACACATATACACACAATTAAAAATAAAATGGATTTTAAAAAGAATATTTAGAACAAAATGTTGACAAAATATGCATAGATTTTTCTTAAATACTCAACAGCACAAAACAAGCTGCAAAGAGTTAAACACTTAAATACAGAATTGTGGCAAGTCTGTGGTCGTCAGGATGTTTCTTCTCCCTGATTGATCTGCAGTCTTAGCACTGTCCTGACTGAGACCCCAGCAGGCTGTTATGAAGAAACTGACAAGCTGGCTCTGTAATTCAAACCAGAAAAGCCAAAACAACTTGAAAAAGAGAAAGTTGGAAGACTAACCATACAGGATTTCAAGACATTATAGTGCTGGTTATTAAAGAAAGTGTAGCTTGGTATAAGACACACAAACTGGGCTAGAATAACTAGATGTCCATAGGAAAAACTGAACCTGAATATATATCTTATGTCATATATAAAATCAGCTCAGGTCAGGGGCATGGCTCAGTGGTTGAGTGCTGGCCTATTATGCTGAGGCCGTGGGTTCAGTCACCAACATTGTCTCCCAAATTCAAATTGGATCTAGGGCTTAAACTATAAAACTTCTACAAGGAAAGCAGAGGAGGTCTTTATGTCCTTCGGTTAGGGAGCAGGTTCTCTTATAAATAAGACATTAAAAAAGTATGTTCCATAGAATAGAAGTTGATGAAGTATATTTCATTATAATGAAAAACTTCCCTTCAGGGGCTGAGAGATGGCTCAGTGGATAAGAGCACTGGTTGCTCTTGCAAAGGATCCAGATTCGATTCCCAGAACCCACATGGCAGCTAAAAACCATCCATAACCCCAGTTTTAGGGGATTCATCACCTTCTTCTGACCTCCACAGGCATTGCACGACATGGGTACACTTATATACATATAGGCAATACACTCATACACATAAGATAAAAATAAATATAATATTTTAAAAAAAGATAAGCCACAGACGGAAAGAATATATTGGCAAAGCACATATCTTGCAAAAAACTTGTAGCAAAATATATTAAGAACTTAAAAATCAGGCTGGGTGTGGTGACACATGCCTTTAATCCCAGCACTTGGGAGGCAGAGGCAGGCGGATCTCTGTGAGTTCAAGGCCAGCCTGGTCTACATAGTGAGTTCAGGTCAGCTGGGACTAGAGGAAAACCCTGTCTCAAAAAGACAAAAAAAAAAAAAAAAATTATGGGAACTAGAGAGATGTGCCAGGAAACAGTGAAAACAATCTAAAAAAAAAGGCCTTCATAAAGTGTCTTTTCCCCACCTCCCTGAGCTCCACGATCTCAGCTCTGCCAGGACTCCTGGACTCTCCCACCCCTGCCATGGTATGCTCCTTTCCCACACCTCCTTGTGCCAGCCATTTCTGCCTTTTTAGGACCACTGTGGACCCCCAGATCTGGGAGCTTTCCTAGACCTGCCTTGATTAATGCATCTCTCAACTCTCACCAGAGAGGTTTCCTTACACAGCAGGTGATAATTAACTGAGACCCACAACTGGCCAACGTGCAGAGAACAAGAGACTGCAGTGTTCATCCTGAATAGGACACCTATATCAAACTTCTGCCTCCCAAGGCTCAGGGATCATTGTGGAAGAGGGGGTGGAAAGATTATAAGAGCCAGAGGAAGTGGATGACCACAAGGAGACAGTTTTCCAGGCAGCTGGTCTGTTACTCATAGGAGCTCACAGCAATGCTGACAGCATGCATAAGTCCCACGTAAGCCCAAGCAGACAAAAATCCCAGCACAGACATGGGGAAGTAAGAATTCCCCACCATATCTGAGGAACTACTGGTAGCCAGTGACTGCTGGGAATGGGAGATTCAGTCTCATTTAAGGGTGACTCTTAGTAAACTGACCATGCTCCAGTGAATGAACCCACACTGAAGGGCATTTGGGGACACAAACCTGACTCTATAAGTCATATATATATATATATATATATATATATATATATCTAGAGAGAGAGAGAGAGAGAGAGAGAGAATACAGAAATTTTGTAGAGGGCTAGAAGGGGATGCAGATATGGGAGGGGATCTAAACACGATAAAAATATATTGTATAAAATTTGCAAAAGCAAAAAAAAAATTAAAATGGGTCAATGATCTGCAGACATTTCACTAGGAGATCTGTGGACAGCAGGTGAATGCTTGAGATACTCAGCAGCACTGTGGCCAGAGAAACACAGAGGAAAACCACCGCAGGATGCCACTGTACACAGACCACAAAAAGATTGACCAGAGCCCTAAACAGCACATCTGTATCACACCCTGCTCTCTCAAGGTTCAGAAATTATTGCAGAAGAAGGGATAGAAAGACTGTAAGAGCCAGCAGTGCCATGCAACACCCACAGAAGCCAGAAGATGGTGTCAGATCCCCTGGAACTGGAATTAAGGACAGTTGTTAGCTGCCATGTGGGTGTGGGAACCAAATCCAAGTCCTCAGCAGTACTCTTAACCTCTGGGCCATCTCCAGCCCCAACAAAGAGTTTTGCTCTAAAACTCAGTAAACATTCTTAACCTCACAACACAGCCTTTTATTCCAAGGGAGAAGGCATTTCTTTGATACCCTCACGGGCATCACATTTATTGTAGTGTCTTTAATGGAACTACTGTTAGATTTATGTTTTGTATTATAAGCTATCTTGGGACCTACTGGTACATTTAAGGTCCCTGTTAAGACAGACTCAATACATTCTGCTGGTTTACAGAGCATCTGAAGCAGGAAATCTCACATAATGGCCACAATTATTTTTTAATTTATTACTGTATTTCATTCAAGAAGACCATAGGCTTTGACCACATTCAACCTGCATCATCCTGTCTGTCCTCCCTTCCCTGTCTACTAATGTCTAAGGAGGTCAGAAAAAAGCATCAGATTTCCCTGGAACTGGAGCTGCAGACCGTTGTTAGCTGTCATGTGGGTGTTGGGAATGGAATCTGGGTCCTCTGTAAGAGCAGTCAGTGCTCTTAACTACTGAGTCATCTCTCCAGGCCCATTTTTTTCCTCTTTTTAAAAAATATTTTATTATTTTTATTTTATGTGTATGAGTGTATTGCCTGCATGTAGTTAAGTGCACCTGTGCTGTGCAATGCCCACAGAGGATAAAAGAGGCCATCAAATTCCCTGGAACTGGAGTTGCAGACAGTTGTTAGCTGCCATGTGGGTTCTGGGATTCAAACCCAGGTCTTCTGCAAGAACAACCAGTGTTCTTAACTGCTAGCTATCTCTCCAGCCCCCAGTACCATTTTTTCAAGCAATAAAGTCCACTTCCTTTCCCCAAACAGTTCTGTTTTCTACCATGTTTGATTAAAATATCCTTCATGGGCTGGTAAGGTGGCTCAGCAGATGAAGGTGCTTTCCACCAAGTTCAATCCTGAGTTCAATGCCCAGGATCCACAAGAAGGAAAGAACTGACTCCAAGTTGTCCTCTGACCTCTACTTGTACTCCATAGTATGCACGTGCCCCACCCCTTACCCCCAACACAAAAATTTTAAAATCCTTTGTTCCATAACATTTAAAGTGTTTGGTGTATAACAAGTGTCGTGAATGGATTTTCTTTTTTAAAAAAATATTTTATTATTTTTATTTTATGTGTATTGCCTGCATGCATGTGAGTGCATCCGTGTCATGCAATGCCACAGATGTCAGAAGAGGGCTTCAGATTCCCCTGGAACTGGAGTTAAGAATGGTTCATAGCCGCCATGTGGGTGCTGGGAATTGAACCCAGGTCCTCTGCAAGAGCAGCCAGTGCTCTTAACCACTGAGCCATCTCTCCAGGCCTGTGAGTGGATTTTCTTAGCAGTGGTATAGCAGATGCTTGTTGCGAATTCCACCATCTGTATTCCTATGTAGTCCATTCCCACTGTTGGACACCATGCCAATACTGAGGTCAGTTCCAAGGTTCTGAGCGGCATGTCCTAATTTAGTCAGTCTCAGAAGCAATACTTAAGGCCACAAGGGTGAGGGGACCAATGCACTTACCATGTTTGACTCAAGAAAAACCTTAAAGCACACACTTTTTTTTTTTTTTTTTGGTCTTTTTGGTCTTTTTGAGACAGGATCTCCCTGTAGCCTCAGCTGGCCTGGAACTCGCTATGTAGACCAGGCTAGCCTCAAAGTCACAGAGATCTGCCTCTGCCTCCCGAGTGCTGGGATTACAGGCATGCGCCACCACGCCCAGCTAAAGCACACACTCTTTTTTCTTTTTTTGTCTTTTTTGAGACAGGGTCTCCTTGTAGCCCCAGCTGTCCTGGAACTCACTATGTAGACCAGGCTGTCCTCGAACTCACAAAGATCTGCCTGCCTCTGCCTCCCAAGTGCTGGGACTAAAGGCATGTGGCACCACGCCCGACCTAGCACATACTCTTAATAGTGGTTTGATAACATTTCCAACAAACCCTGGCAATTCAGGAAGGAGGAGTAGCCATTTCGCTGGGTTGGGGGAATATTGTTTTGTTTTGGTTTGTTTGTTTGTTTGTTTTTGAGACAGGGTCCTCCTGTAGCACCAGCTGGCCTAGAATTCACTATGTAGACCAGGCTGGCCTGGGTCTCACAGAGATCCACCTGCCTCTGCCTCCCAAGTGCTAGGACTAAAGGCATGTTCTGGCTTGGATATAGTTAACAATAATAAAGTTGATATAATAATCCTATCCTGCCACAAGTAAGGAAAATTCCAGTTTATGATAAAGGCATTTGTTAAAATTGTATTTACTTATTTTTACTTATTTTATGTGTATGAGTGTTTTGCTTGCATGTGCATAAGTGCACCATGTGTGTACAATACCCACAAAGGCCAGAAGAGGGTGTTGGATCCCCTGGAACTGGAGTTACTGACAATTGTCAGCTACCATGTGGATGCTGGGAACTGAACCCTGGTCCTCTGTGAGAGCAGTCAGCATTCTTAACCACTGAGCCATCTCTCCAGTCCCAATAAAGGCATTTTTTTGAAAGAATGATTGCACAAGTATAATCTTGTAAAAAGCTAGGAAGATAAGATGGTGGAGAAGGCAGAAGAAAGATGAACAAATACCCCCATGTGGCAGGCATTTGCCATGGGCTATCTGATGTGACCCTGTGGCACTTTCAGACATGCTCTGTCAACTGCCCCACTGACATTCAAAAGAGACAACTTAACACTCACAGGTTAAACCATTTGTAGCCAGGTTGAGTCATCCCTAAGGACAGTTGAGTGTGTTCTTTAACCTAGAGTCATGGCTTTCTCATTATGCAAATGTGCTGGGTAGCTTTAGTGTCAACTTGACACACCTGGGTTGAGGGAGCCTCAATCGGGAAATTGCCTCTATTGGACTGGCCTGTGGCCATGTCTGAAGGGCATCTTCTTGATGAGTGATGTGGGAGGGCCCAGCCCACTGTGGCTGGTGCCACCCCTGGGCAGGTGGGCCTGTGTTGCATAAGAAAGCAG